AGTAGTTAATGTTAGAAATGTCCAAGTTAAGGGTTATGTATTATAAAATATATATATTGTGACAGCTGTGACAAGAAACGTGACATTCATAGTGTGTTGACAATAAGCTGTCACAAGCTAGTAAAAATATACATGGAAAAAGATGGTTGTTATCAATTAACCATTTCCTTTTCTTGTGGGAAAAACTGGTGTTTAGCACCCTGAGGAGAATCTACTCAGGCAGACACAAAAGAAAGGCTTTGAGAATGCTAAAAGATGCACAGCGAACTGTGATGGATGTGCTGTGAATAGGGCGCAAAGACTGCGTCCACAGAAACGAACGATCTGCTTTAGTTTTATTGAATGCCCTAATGCTAATTTTAACATAATTCATCTTTTGTAAATGCAAGAATTAATTTGATAAGCTTTCATTAAAAATCAAAAAGACAACCTCTCCTATATCGAGAAAACTCGGCTATGTTACAGTACTAGAGAGGTGTCTCTCAACAGTGAAGAGATCAACTTTTAAAACTCTGTCATCAATTGCACACGATAAAGCTAATGAAAATAAAATGAACGATCATTGCCTTTATATAGGTTGAAGACATATAACACGCATCAACAGGAATAATATAAACATGCAGTAAATCATTTATAACACTCTGCACAGAAGTAAAGCGCAGAAATGAGAGTGATGCGGGAGCAAATTGCGGTTTAGAACAAGCACAGATAATACTGTCAGTTCTTTCAAGTCTCATTATTTAACAAAAACTTGTTATAACTGAGGTGGTACAAGCATATAATTTTGCTATTTTTTATGAACAGGCTTTTGTTAACTTTGCCTATATATATGAGATATTTCACGTAAAATTGGATGATTTGAAATTTTTAATTCAAATCTAAAATTAAAAATTTTTATGTCATCCAAGTTAATGTAAGTCTGAATGCAATGGAATCTTAAAGTTTCGTTTTCATCCACTTCCCCCCAACTATAGAAATATGTGAATTTTCGCACACGTGATAAAAATGATTAAAATAAATACAATAACAAAAATTAACCAATACTGGCGCTAGTTCAGTTTTCCTAACCCCAAAAAATATTTATAAACAACTAAAATAAACATTTAAACAAAATTTATTGGTTTATTTTTTTAAAAGGCAGAATTTTATATAAATCATTAATAAAGTCTATCAGTGACCATAAAATAACTTTTCCTATATACTTAATTAACTTTATAAAAAAGTTAGTTTGTTAGGTTATGGTTAGTACCTCCTTTTGCAAGGTATAGTTGCTTAAATTACAATCATACATTTGTAAAGATATTACTGTGTATACCTGATACAGTAATAAAATCATGCTATAATTTATTAATTCTCATTACTGCTGAGTATAAAGGAACCCATCAGACACAACATTAAACTAAGTACAGTCAAAAGTCGTTAATTCGGACACCCATAATCTGGAATGATCTATAATCCGGACCTCAAAGCTACAAACTTTCTGCGCATGCTTCGCATTGACACGCATGTGCGTAAGACCTTTACGGCTGCGAATATGCATGTGCTCAAAATACGTTTACGAATGTACTTTTAATGTATAACGGACGGTATAAGCTAAGCTAAAATGATCTAATTATCTATTTCAGTTAATGTTGCAGATTGCGTTGTTCCTTAATCTTCGAATTGGATCCGGCTTATTATTTTTTTGCAGACTGTTAGAGCAATTTTATGAAAGTAAGCTTGAACTTTCGATTATGTCAAATAGAATTTCTGATATATATTTACTAATATGTAAAGGATCTACAAAGCAAAAGTATGTTTCGAAGTCCATTAAACAAAAAGTGGAATTGCTGCAAAAAATGGATAAAGGCATATCCTTTGTTTATCTAAACTTTAATGTTTGTTTATCTAAACTTTGTTTATCTTTAACGCCGCGGCGCCGTGCAATGAATTGGAAGTTGATCTTTCAGCACTATCCTTATCTTCAGGGCAGATGTTTTTATTTTATTTGGCTTATAATTCCTTATTAAATGTAGTATTTCATCTCGATGTACTCCATCTTTGATATGACTTAAATCAAATTCCTCGTCATTATAATTCGCTTCCGATAGCGAAGAAAGTAACAGAGGTTATTGGAAACGAAAAAATTTCAATTGACAAATTAGTCGGTATTCTCGACACAGCAATTATAGGATTTGAACAGCGGAACATTGTAACTGAACAAGAAATTATGTCTGTTTAAAGAATTAAAGAGAATGTATTATCACATAAAAAACGAAGCAACTTAAACAACTTACATTGAAAGAAATGTTTAATAAAGTAAACAAATAAATATTAAGCCTTTTTTTTTTTTTGTAAATTTTGATACCCTTTAGATCATAATTGTTCTTTATTTCATAAATTACGGTTTCATATTTTTAATTTTATAGTTTCTGCATGCTATCTTACCAGATTTAAACTGATGATCTATAATCCAAAAAAATCGATAATCCGGAATCACCGAAGTCCCGACGAGTCCGGATTAACGACTTTTGACTGTATAACACTTTTTTGTTGCAAAAAAGTAATTGTTTCTACTTTCTTTTGCTACCAACCTCCACTAACTGCGAAAATGTTATCAAACGATTCCAAGTTCGCAAGCTCCTCTAACATGATTTCCATTTTTGGGACGTTAAAAAAATATATAATAATAATTTACCTTTAGTTTACTTTTCCTACCCCTCTAAACTAAATTATATATTTTTTATATAATGTATAGGGATAGGAAAATTGAACTTGCACCCCAATATTAAAGTTTAATTAGTACATGATTAGCTTTTTTTTTTTTTTTTTTTTTTTTTGTCTTTTTTAGACAGTATGGTTTTAATCTGCTCATGCCCGTCTCTGCCATCTCAACTCCCTCTAATTTTCTCTCGGTCTTCTACTGCCGCCCTGAAGGTCTCAATGCCCACGTTGAGAATCTAAGATCTACCCTGTCAGGTTGTAAATGTTCAAAGTCATGGCCACTCGGTGATAGTTTGGAATATTTTCTCTTAGGAGCAGCATTTGATATCTTGGTACTTATGCCAGACATAGTCAGTCACATCCCTTTATGCTTTTCTGCCATTTGGGTTGGAGTTGAATGCTTCAGCAGGATAACTTTTTTTGGTCAGATCTTGATTGGCTGCCATCTGGTTCAAAGAACATTCCACTGAATTATCCCTGCAGAAATGGCTATTGAGAAGCCGGGTTTTAAAAATCTCATTGAACATCTTTATTATACCATGGTAAACTGTGTATAAGTCTATCATCCACCACCAGGATGCTTAAGTGATTAATGGAATATTCTGGGGACATAGCCAAATCATAACTTTCAAGCATTTCCGTAGACTTTTATTGGATCTATGATTCATTATATGTTAGCCATTGTCATGGCCAAAGTAACTAACTCATTACTAATAAGATATTCTTGATTCAGTGGCACTCTAGTTATTTCTATTAGCTTTTTCTTTCTGTATTTTAGCTCTTTTTATATCTTTAGAAGAGAATGCCGTTTTTTAAGGCATAAGAGAAATCAGTAAGAAATGTTAACTGATGGTGATGAAATGAAACAAATTGGTCTCTTTAGTATTTTTAGACTAGCTGAAGTTTTAAAAAAAATCTTTGCCATTTTATGAAGTAATATTTCATGTGCTTGTGCAGAATAATTTTTACTGTTTTTTTAAGGAGCTCTCCATATCCACGATCTCTCTCCAAATACGGTTTAGTTCTTTTTTTTTTTTTTTTATTTAAACTGATTTATTTTATCTTATGCTAAAATAAGCTCCGTTTGTCATTAATTAAAGTTAGAATGTATTTTTACTGCACTGATAGAAAAATTAGTTTATTACTTGTACTAGATATTGCATTTGTTTTGTGTTATAAAACTAGCAAGTTTGGCTGGTATTAGTTATTAGCATATGTTAGTTCAGTATTATACAAGTTTATTTAGAGTGAGATTAGTTGTCTCTCAGTCCAAATTAGTTTGCTGCTGTAGTCCAATCGTTTGTTTTCTCACCCATGAAAATAATTTCAAGTGATACAAAGAAGAAACTCAGGTAAACTTGAAAAATAAAGTTAGTAAAATACCAGGTATGCTTCTCCTTAAAATTTTAAAGCTAATTTTTATTTTATGTTTTTGCAAGTTGAAAACAATTTTGAATGGTGAGTTGTAGTTAAGTTCTTCTGCAAGGAAGTTTGATATAGGGAAAGCACTGGACTAATCTACATGAGACTTAAAATCTTATTAACTATAGCTATAGCAGTTGTCATTCATACTTCATACATAAGTTGTTTTTATTAAGGGAACGAAATTTGCATCGTTAATAAAAATTACAATATATCCTCATCCATATCATTAAGAGTTTTAGCATCACATTTTGGAACTTTTTTAAAATATTTATATTAATTACATGTATATATGAGCTTGGTAATATCGCCTTGAATCATTGATTTAAGTAAATTAAAAGTTTACAAGTGAGAATGTTGTTCAAACTATTAAACTGTTTAGTTAGATTTGTGGTGGACTCACCTCAGCTAGATAGATGGCAGCACATGCAATGAGCTGCTGTTGATGTTCTTTCCAAGCAGCGACATTATCAACACTTCCTATTTCACACTCGTGGCCAACAGATGTGTAGCTCATGGCTGCCAGAACTTGGACAAATTCTCATACTGAAAAATCGCATCTGCAACTATATATTTTGTAACTTGTTTCGTGTAATAATTAAATGTTACTTTATTAAGTATAACAGTTAATTTATACAGCATGTTAATGTGTTATAGACTTTTGTATTCAATTAATTTCAGTGATCAAGATATGCGGGAAATTAACAACCTGTAAAGATTCTTATCGTTAATGCTTTTGTATACACACATGTTCATAAACTGTTTGGCTGGTAAACTTCTGTGTTATATGTGCTTTTTAGGTGTAAATTAAAATACCAGATTTATAGTTTCAAAAATAATTTGAGTATTATTTTGTATTTTTATTCTTTTTACAGCCTGTTACATTTGCCACACTTATCAGATTTGAATAGCGATGTGTCAGTTAATTGCTGTCAAACTGGAAACCCTCCACAACAGTCTCTCAATGTCCTCGGATCTACCAATATGCTTACATCTAGCAATAAGCTAGTTTCTCTTTCACAAAGTAAGGACACAGAGCTTAATTATGGTGATATGGGACAGAGGTCTAACAGATGGTTTGATGGCCTTTTACGTTGCTTGAAACCTGTGTGGACAGCCCTGGGAAAATCAACTCCTCATGAATTAAAGGAAGGTAATAATAAATTAGAATTTTTATTTTATTCATGTATAATGAAAAGCTAAGAAAGCTACTTGTGAGTAATTGTCTGTAATAACAGCTACAAATTTGAATATTTTATTTTGCTTTATGTTAACTGTAGAGTAAAATTAACGCTTAAGATTTATAGCTTAATAGTTTTACCTTATAGTGGAATTCACTTCTACCTTTGTTAAAATAGATGTTTATCTCAAGTAATGTATGCATTATAAAATATCCCAGGAAAGTAAGTTTTATATAACTTGTCAAATTAGCATTTAACAAAACATGAAATTGAGGATTCAGAGTAAATTGCAAAAAAGGAAAAATATTTAATTGTGTAAAAAATAAATTTTGAAAAACTTACATCCTGGATTATGTAGTAACAAAAAGAGTTTAGAACCAAATTAACAAACATTGCTGTTATAAATGCCCAAAATGTTTTGTTACTGTTACTGGGAATGAAGGAGTCCAGCTTATTTCATTGGATTTTGCCATAGTTATGGCGTAAAAAGCCATGCACTGGTAACATTATTCCAATTGAGTGTTTACTTTTAAATTATAAGGCAACCTAGGTTTGAGTACTTAAGCTTTAGTAAGCATGTGTTAGCTTTAAATCTCCATTATTAATCTCAGGACGGCTAGGGGTAAGTTGAGCTTTCACTTTTCATTCAATCGGGGTAACTCTTGCATTTTATAAATTAAAAAAATATATATATTTAATTGTGGAAAAAGGAAAAATATTTAATTGTGTAAAAAATAAATTTTGAAAAACTTACATCCTGGATTATGTAGTAACAAAAAAAGTTTAGAACCAAATTAACAAACATTGCTGTTATAAATGCCCAAAATGTTTTGTTACTGTTACTGGGAATGAAGGAGTCCAGCTTATTTCATTGGATTTTGCCATAGTTATGGCGTAAAAAGCCATGCACTGGTAACATTATTCCAATTGAGTGTTTACTTTTAAATTATAAGGCAACCTAGGTTTAACTTAAGCTTTAGTAAGCATGTGTTAGCTTTAAATCTCCATTATTAATCTCAGGACGGCTAAGTTGAGCTTTCACTTTTCATTCAATCGGGGTAACTCTTGCATTTTATGAATGCTTTATTATTACAGTAAATATATACAGATACACAAATCATTACGGAACATTCTTAACCTTAATCGCATTCCCTCGCTTCTCGATTCTCAATTGATATCATGAGCCCTCTATTGGTGGCTTTTCTACAATGCCATCTATCGGCTGATAACATTTGGTCATTCTGACCTGACAATTGTCCCGCTTGTTCGGAGTACAAATCAATTTTATAATTAATACAATTTTCTACTTCAACTCGTATACATATTACTAATACACTAAGAAAAATACACATAATACTAAAATTTGATGTGATAATAAACTTACTCCAATATTTTCACATGCATAAATTCACATATTTTTTTATACATTAGCATAATAATCGAAAATTTTCTGTAAATCATTATTAAATACATGATATATATGAAATAACTCTATTTTTTATCAGTCCTCAAATGATTCAGAACAAATGCACTAAAGTCTTTCAGCTAATGTTCAAAAGTTCAAGGTCAATATTAATGTTCAAAAGTTCAAAGTTTCTAAAGTTTTTTATCAGCAAACATTTGTAGATAAGCACACACACACACACACACACACACACACACACACACACACACAGGAAGGATATCACCTTAATGACAGGGGAGAGCACTTCCATCACTCCTTACGGACAGATCTGATTAGATTCCGTCGAGGAATTAAGCTTGATGACTGGTATCTTGATCGTCGCCGTCGTCATCATCACCGTCAGAGCTGGGATCGCACCTCCATCACGGTTTGTAGCGGTCCTTACAAGTGCTTATAAGTTCTTATATTTGAAAATAAAATATAAAGGTCCTTATAGATGCTTACTTTTTCTTTAAAGCCTTTATTTTTTTTGTTTTTAGTGCTTATTTTTTGCTTTTAGTGCTTTTTTTAATGAACACGCATTTTTCCCCCGTACCAAAGCCAAAACTAAACAAACAACTTTTCTTCCTTATATGAAACCTTATATGAGATGGTGAATCGTACTCCCGGAAATAGCTTTTCCCCCTTTCTCTGCATTAACGTAACCTATGGTGCACGCGAGAGTACAGACAGGTGCACGTCGTTCTATTGGTCAAAGAATTGCAAAAACCGTAGAAATTTCCGGCACATTCGGTATTCTTTTCCTCCCACCCAAATACTACACACGTTTGAATTTCTATCAAGATTTTAATAATAAATAAACTTCCATAAATGGGTGTATTTTTACACAGATTACCTTTCTGAGGAATAATATTCGGAATAAAAGGAAAGTAATCTAATAGTCAAAATAATTTCTTTCTTTCTTTTTTTTGCCAATGCATTGTACAGGTATGGAAGTTGGTGGTTCTCCCCTTTCTCCGCAAAATCTCGAATATTGAAACTGTTACAATTCACAGCAAAGCAAGCAACAGACTTTTTTTTTTTTTTTTTTTTTTGGTCACTGTTCCAATCAGGATTGAATAGGACTAAAATAAAAATTCTGCGATCTACCCAACCCAAGAGAAGAATGATTCTATTCCCAGAAATTTAACGCAGTCTGTTCAAAATTAGAATCAAAAATACTCCAGATTGGTAAATCTCTTTATTAATCAGTATGAGTATAGCAGCGATATCATGCAGAGTGCGACGTGTCCTGTTCAATGATAAATATGCCACATGAGCGCATGATGGTGAAAAACCGGACAAAGCAAGGGGCGTTTTCCTTTATTTAGTTCTTTATTCTCCGAATACTGTTAGTTATTTATTCTCCGAATACTGCAGCTGTTGATTCCGATTGCGTAATATCACGTGCGGAAGAATTACGGCTTCACGTATTGCGCAATAATGTTTGGTGGTATTTTGCAGAGATAATTAATTTTGATGTTCAGTCTGAGATTTATTTATGAACACTTAAAAGAGTTTTACTGTGATTGCTAAGCAGAATTATTTGTTCAGTTCCATTGGGCTATTTTTTTATATGATGCACATATCTGAAAATGTCAAAAGCATTATTTAGCTGAAAAATCTAAAGAACGGCTACAATCTAACCCCCCTTCCTCTTTTACCAGTTATGCTCGACTATACCAGAATTTTCAGATATTCGTAAATTTCCGAGTATGTCGGGTTAGTTAAGCTTTTACTGTTAAAGGATTGAACTGCATGAAGCAAATTTCCCCGTCTTCTGATTTCAGAAAAGTTCCTTTTTGTACTTATTTTTACTTAAATTACTTTGCTTGGAATATATGTTAATGCAATGAAAAATACAAAGAGAAAACTATTATGCAATGAAAATTTAGAAAATGTTCCGAATTTTGATTCAAGTTAAATTATTTAAATATTAATATTGAGTGGAAAAATAAATTGCATTTATTAGGTGCCAAGCGAATACAATTAATATGGCTTATTATTATTTATTTTCTATATTTTGAACTGAAATTTCATCATTAAATCTTGTAATATAGTTTTCTCTCATTGTAAACTAATTCTGTAAATTGAACTGTCATTTAAAATTTAAAAAAAAAAAAAAGTTAATTGTTTTCCATGGTTTAGGTAATGCTCATTCTCTTAATAAATATTGCATTGCTCATATTTTAAGTTGCAAGTCTAATTTTTAAGGTTATGCAGTTGTGTATAATGAATGTAATTAGACATGTGCTTATTTTTTTTCTTAAAATGTGCTTGAAAAGTGCTTATAGGTGCTTAATTTTTTAACTAAAATGTGGCTACGAACCCTGTTCATAGCTTCAACTGACTCACATGAGCAGTGGTAGTGAAGTAGCGACCTCGATTCTTCGTTTCTAATTGAGTTATTCTGTAGGTATTGCTAGGTAATATTTCGGTTATTATAAATGGCCCTCGGTATTTCAGTTGTGTTTTTGTAGGTTGACCTGTAGCCTTAGGAGCACATCTCATCACAGCTATTTCTCCTTGCTTCGAATATTAGTGTATGACACCTCTTCCCATCGAATCTCTTTTTCATTTTCACTTGCTTGTTCCTCAATTCTTCCTCGCGCTTGCTCTTGGATTTCTCGTGGGTCTTTCCATGTATCTGAATCTTCTCTGCTAACTTCCTAAGTATTCCATCATTAAATCTGGGAGAATACCGATGTAGCATTTCAAAAGGAGTCTTATTTGTAGTTTTGTTTACCATGTTGTTAAGATTTCTTTCTGTCTTTTATTCTTGAATTCCAATCTCTGTGCTGTTTATCCGTTAAACTTGTCATTATCATTCCTAAAATTATTGTTCTGTTGACGTGCTGTACCATACCATTGGCTTGGGGGTGTTTGGTAGAATTCAAAGTATGATGTATTCCGTTATCTGTACAATACTGCTTAAATTGGTGAGAAGTAAAACAAGTTCCTCTGTCATTTATTATTCTTTCCGGTAGTCCAAAATCATTAACAAAATTCTTCAAAGACTGTAAAAAATTCTTAGCACTAGTATTCTTAACTGCAAAAATTCTCACGAACCTAGTCAGGTTATCAATTATCACTAATAGTTCTTGATTACCTCTTGAACTCTTTACAAAAGGACCCAAGCAATGATCCAATAGCAAACGGTCTTTTACCAGGTTTTATTGGGATGTAACAGTCCTTGTTGCTTGCCACATGTCGCTTTATTCATAAGGCACTCAATACATGCTGATATGTGTCTTCGTACGTATCGTTTCATGCTTGGGAACCAATACAATTCCTTAATTTTGCTAACTGTTCTATCCACAGAAAAGTGACCTTATTTGGTCACTTTGGTCACTTATTTGGTCAGAAAAGTGACCTTATTGGACCTTATTGGAATTTCATCACTACACTCTTCCTCATGCTTTTTGGAATCACATAGAGTAATCTCTCCTTTCCATCCACTACGGTTTTCCAAAACAGTCTATTCTTAAACACGCAATTCATAATTATTTTTTTCCTCCTCAGCAGTTGGTTCCTCTTGTTTCTTCTTGAAAATTTCAATAATTCTTTTAAAGTCTTGGGTAGCATTTTGTATCATTAGTATTTGCTCATCTTCGGTTAGGGACTGGCAAACTTCAAAAGTTTCAGCTATTCTTGTCATCATGTCATCAGCTTCTGATACCAGGACCTCTGCTCAAAGCATCAATATGAAACAGTCTTTTTCCTGACCTATGACTTATCTCAAAATCGTATTCTTGATTCAAACTACACCACCGGGCTATTTGAGGATTTGTAGTCTTCTTCGCATTCATATATATTAGAGCTTGACAGTCAGTAATAATTGTAAATCTTATGCTGATTAAGAACCGTCTTAACCTGTGCAACGTCCATACGATGGCCATTAACTCCAATTTGCTGGAATGATACTTTCTCTCTGCTTCTGTTGTTTTCTTGCTGATGCAATAAACGGATGCCATTTTCCATCTTCATCACGTTGCATTAGCATTCCACTCAAACCTTCTGCACTTGCATCACAATGGACTTCAGTATCTGCATGCGGTACATAGTGAGCTAATATGGGCTTATCAGTAAGTTGTTTCTTCAATAGTCTTTTGTTCTTGCTTACACTCGAAGTCTCGATTCTTCTTTGTCAATCTGGTCAATGGTTCACTTTTCAACGCATACTTCAGCACAAATCGTCTGAAAAATCCAGTTAGGCCAAAAAATCTTCGCATTTCGTGCGCATTCTTTGGTTCTGGAAATTCTGTTATGGCTTTTATTTTTCTAGATGTCGGTCTAATACCATCTTCGTTTATAATAAAACCCAAGAAATCTACTTGTCTTTTCCCAAATTCACGTTTAGATAATTTCAAGGTAAAATTTGCTTTTCTTAGGCATTCTAATACCTCCTTTAATTTGAAAATCATCTCATCCCAAGATTTTGCAGGAATAAGTATGTCATCCATATAACACAACACCTTAGTATTCAACAAGGGGCCTAAGATATACGACATTAGGCGCTGAAACTCGGCAGGAGCATTTACTAACCCAAATGTCATCCTTTCGAACTGTCCTGTTTCATCTGGAGTAATGAATGCCCTCTTCAATTTAGCTTCTTCACTTAACGGTATTTGCAAATAGCCATGGGCTATATCCAGAGTAGTGAAAATTTTACATCCTCCTAAACATTCTAAAAGATCATCTATTCGAGGCAAAGGGAACTTATCCTTTATCGTCTGACTATTAAGTCTGCGGTAATCAATTAGCAGTCTATATTCCCCTGTTTTTATCTTTACTAGTAATACTGGAGTAGCGTAAGGCGAGCTAGTTTCAGAAACTATCCCATTATCTTTCCATTCCTTAACAATTTCTTTTATTACATTACGTTCAGCTGCATTCGTTTTGTACGAACGAGAAGACACAGGCTTCCTCCCATCAATTTCTTTGATGTCCATTTTTATTACGTTCGTGCAACCTAATTCATTTAAATTAAGAGCAAAGCAATCCCTAAATTCATTTACTAATTTTAAGATATCAGTGCTTTCACTATGTGTAGTTGCCTCATCAAGTTTTATATCATCTATCTTTATTTGGTGAATATTTTGAGAAATGGAAAATACATGGTTTTTTTCTTAGTCTTTGTTTATATTGGGAGTGTCTACTTCCTTTAATTCCCAATCTTCTGCTATATCTATTACCCTGCTGATACACTGATTTTCTTTTAATCTGATGTTATTGTGTCCTATGTTCATAACTGGGACTGTTACCCTGCCATTTGTAACCTCCATTACTGAATCCTGACTTCCATGCTTGTTTTGAAATAAGATTAGTCCATTATTTATATCTGGGGCTATAGAATGCAAAAAGTTTATCGTGTTACTTTTAAATTCTATTGGTTTCTCAGAATATAACTTAATGTACTTACGATCTGTTTCGTTTATCAATTGCGCAAATGGAATTTTATTAGCATACCATATGTTAAACGAATTCCCCATTTTCCCATAAGCCAACATTCGATCGTTTAAAATATCTCTCCCAATAATTAGGTCATACGGCTGTACCTCATCATTTACGATAAACAAATTCGCAGTTGTTTGGATTTCGTCGATTCGAAGTGAGACATGAACTTTTCCAAGGTCGTTGTAGATGCGTGATTTACGCTCCTAATTCCAAACAATTTTTTTGTCTCCGGTTGCACTGGTAATTGTAATTTCGAAAAGACCGAAAATCTTAGTAGACTGACAGCGCTTCCAGTATCTATCAAACGTTCGATCGGTTCACTGTCGTTAATTATTGTTTTCTTCAAATACGTTGAAACGTCAGATAATCAATCCACCATGATTCATTGCAACACTATTTTGATCTTTCATTTTGTCATTCATCATTTCTTTGCGACTCTCTGTCCGACGTGGGAGGCATTTGGCATCACAAATCAAGCTAGAATGTTTACTCTTATATGTCAAGCAGCGCTCTTTTAATTTACATAAACGGACCACGTGACTTTTTTGCAGGCATAAAAAAAGTCTTCCGTTTCGTTTCAAACTTTCTAATTTCTGTTCGTGTTCCTAATCACAATTTTCGGAACTGTGCTCAGAATTATTGCAAAAAATGCAAATTTTCTGAAATGTGCTCAGTGCAGTTGCGTTAGGAATCGAATCTTGCTGCTTACCTTTAAACTTCTGAAATCTATTCCCCTCTTCTGAAAATTTATTAACTGACAGTTTATAGTCTACGCTTTTAACTGATTCTTTATTTTCCCTTGTTAGTCGAGACAAAAATGTTCGTTCTCGCTTTTCTATTTCTCTTTGAAGAAATGTTAATAATTCTGTTGCATTTCAAGAATCTTCTTTTTCATGCTGTCTATAAAAATATAGCACAATGGAATGTGTAATAAGTTTGGTTAGTAGTTGGTTAAGGACATCTGGGATCTTAAAAGTACCATCTGCCTTTGGAATGCCTTTCCATCATACAATTTGAACTTCCTGTGTAAGACGCTGTTTTCAATATGGTTGACACTGTCAACAATGTATACGCTGTCAACGATGCATGATCTGTGGGAAGCAAGAATTTTCTGCGGGAGAGGTAATAATGGAAGTGCTCTATGGTTTTAATTATGGTGAGAAATGCTTTTATGGTGATACAGTAATTCCTCTCTGGTTGAGATAGACACTTGCTCCAGTATGACACATTCTTGACTATTTGTCCTTCGGGACAAAATAGCACTGAGACTCATTGCTCACTCTGTGTTAATATGGATGGATAGATAATTCGTCAGGATTGTCACGGATGTTAAAGCCTCATTCAGTTTGTCAAATGCATCTTCATATTCTTTTGTCCACAAGAAATTTTGTTTGCCATGTGTTACTTTGAAAGGGAGTCTTGTGATGTCAGTAAAGTTTTTCACAAGCCTTCTGTTGTAGATGGAAAGCCCCAAGGAAACTTCTCAGCTGATGAACATTTTTGGCGCACCTCTGCCAGCACTTTTTTTTTTGTATCCAAACACACAGCTTTGGCAGAGGTGTCATGTCCAAGGTAAGACTTCCTGTATGAACAGTTTACATTTGGCGGGACTTTATTTTAGATTGGCTTCCTTCAATTTCTGAAGCATCTTCCCATAATTTTCTAAATGGTCTTTAAAACTCTTCTCAACGATAATGGTGTTATTCAAGTAGGTCACAAAGGCTTCATTGGAAAGACCTCATCATAGTCTCCATGAGGCATTTAAATGTTGCTGGCACATTATATAACCCAAACAGCATTACCTTAAACTGCCAGTCATTGTCTAGTAGTAAATGCAGTCTTTTCTCAGTCATCAGGGTGCATCCCTACCTGCCAGTATCTAGTTGAACCTTCTTTCTCTTTGACCAAGACAATGGGAGAGGCCCATGGACTTACTGAAGGCTTGATAATCTTTCTTCTGTGTTCTGCAAATGTTTTCCTACCTCTTCCTGTTTTGCAATCGGTAGACGTCTTGGATGTCGCTTGATTGGTGGATGATCCCCCATATCAGTTCTATGTGAAACTCGTTCGACGTATATCAGAAGATGTGTGGGAGAAAGCATCTTGAAATTCTTAAATGACATGTTCTGCAGCACTTCTGTCTTCATATCTTAATTCTGCATTCTGTAATAACTGATATTAGGCTCTCTGAAGGTACAGAGACTGAAGGAATGTTAGGTAATTTAATACAGGTTATTGAGCACATGCTGCAACCACTTCAGCTTTCTTAATGATCCTGTGCTGCTTGTACGCTATTTTACTGTGCTGTCTTTCTGTTGCAACAATATCAGTATAAATTTTCTGGAAATCGGCATGTTTAATGTGCCAGGTGAAATATGGCTGCAAATGTCAATTTAAATAAAAATGGAATTTAATCCACCTCGATTGCCAAGTTTCTTATTTATGAATTCTTGTCCATGATTAAAATATCTTTGCATACTCTGCCCTGTTTGGCTAAACAAATATCTTCATTTGCGAAAACTTATTGCTTGGAGCTACTATTTTCAAGTTTTCCTCCTGATGTGGTTTGTTCGAGATCTTTATAAATCTTTAATATTCAATAATAAAGTGTTAAGAATAATTCTACGTCTAGTCAGAAGTCAGTGTTGTTGGCAAGTTTGTATTATTTACACAAAGCTTATGGTAGTTTTTTTTATATGTAATGATATTGAATTTTCAAAGTAAACATGATTAATATTGCTTCAATCTACTTTTTCTCAAATTTAATCTAACTTTTTTGCACTCTATGTTTTTGTAATCTGAAACCTTTTTTTACAGGTAATTGGGAAATAAGATTTGAGGATATTAAAGAAATGCAGTATTTAGCTTCTGGAGCACAAGGTGCTGTGTATTGTGGGCACTTAAATGGAGAACTTGTTGCTGTTAAGAAAGTTAGAGAAAAAAATGAAACAGATATAAAACATTTGAGAAAATTATCACATCCAAATGTTATAGCATTTAGGTAAGTAAAAAATGTTTCATTAGAGAGAAATTTAATCGAGCAGGTTTGTCACATATGTATATGGTGTAATTCTACTACTACAATTTACTTACCTGAAGGAATCAGGACATACATCAAATGCTTTTTCGTTTGTTTTGTATTAATATTGGGGGATAGGTGCCCATTATAATATTTTATCTGCTTTTTCAGTTAATCTATGTAGACGTACCCCCACGTGCTACTAGAATGGTGAAGAGAGAAGTGCCCCCGGACGGAAACCGAGCATGGCTATTTGTGTTTATAGCCTACCTCCTGTCGGTTGTAGTTTCGGGGCTTCCTCCGTGCTTTGGCCCAATAAAGGCTGCAATTACGGAGGAGTTTCCAGACACTTCGACAAGTACCCTTGGCCAATTTCCATCTTTGGTCAGCAACTTGAGTCTTTTGCTTTCCCCCATAGCTACTCTTGTGGTACTGAAATGTGGTCCTCGTTTGAGTCTTTTTCTAGGAGGACTTTTTTCTGTAATTGGACTAGGTTTAAGTTCTTTTGCTAAATGTGCTGGCTTCCTAGTTTTCAGTTACGGAGTTGTGGTCGGGATTGGTTCCAGTTTAATAGTTGCAAGTTTGCTCTCCCAAATTGCAGCTTTGTTTACCTCCCGCAAGCCTTTAGCTTTTGCCTTGTATATGTGCGGAGAGTGTACGGGGGCATTTGTGCTTCCTTTTTTAATCGATTTTCTTTTAGGTGAGTACGGGTGGCGCATGGTATTTTTTGTTTTATGTGTTTTGAATGTGCCCACCTGTTTGCTGGTTCCCCATTTTTATTTCCCAACTTCCGAGAAAAGGAAATTAAATTGGTTTTGAGAGGAGTTGAAGTGAATGAAATATACACATGTTATTATATCTGATAATCATCTGCGCTGGCCTTTGGATTAGGTGTTAACACAATTTTAGATCGAGCCAGCCTGCATGTTAAGCGCTACCTTTTGTAAGCATGAGTCAGTGCCATCAGTAAATTTATATTTGAGTTAATTAAGGGTTCTTTACATTCTTCTCTGGAGTTTGACTTACTTGAGGATAATTCCCTGCAGTCTTCTAACGACTAGTATACTACTAAAGCATATGAGACATAACTTCTTTCAGATCTAATTTATTACTCAGTTCGTGTCCAATGGTCCCATCAAGGTGATTTTGATTAGGCAAGGTTCTTAAGCAATTTTTTTATTATTTTTAGCTTTGATAATCATCTTTCACCTCTAGCAACAGTTATGAGCAGGTTTAGCAAATTTCTCAAAGCAATGCTTAAATTTGGCCTAATGTTAACCCTAGAAATGCTACCCTTTGAAAAACTTATGCTAATGGTTGTGAGTTGAAGTGTGCCTAAGCGTGTTTAAAACTTATTTTAAAAGCTAACTAAAGTAAAAGTATATGATCTACAGATGGTTTCATGACTCTCAAAGTTCAAGTAATCAAGAAAGTGTCATTTATTTATTCTCAAAGTAGTCCTTACACATATTAGCATGATGTTCTCCTCACATTACTCTGGAAAATGTTTGACAAAAGCAGCACATCATTCTCTGCAAACTATACAGCAAAATGTATATATGTTTCATTTTTTACTGTCAGATTGTTGGTGATGTTGAATGTTCAAATCTAATTTCAGCAGCTACTTTATAACTGTTCTTGTTGATCAGGGCAAAGTTAGTACTTTGGGACACTTTTTCATTCACAGAGCAAGAGTGTCTTCAGTTAGGTTTATTGCAAACTTTATCTCAATATTGCCTTTTTGGATTTTGAGCTTTATTATATATTTATATACACTACCCGACATTGAAAATGTAACACCAAGGAGTTGCCAGAAAGTGATGAAACTCTGTAAGCAGAGAGAGACAGCAAAGAACAATAAGCGCTATCTATTTTGAAATGATATGCATAATACAGAGCGAGAACTGCATTGTCTCAGTAGGCAGTAGACCACATTGGACAGCAATACATGAAGCAACACGTCTAGGTACAGAGTTAATGAGAGTACGGATGGTGTCCTGAGGAATGACTCTCCATTAAATGTGTTTGATTGGTGAATGATCAGGAGAGAACAGCGGCCAGGGAAGCATCTGTACCGTACACCTTGCAGTGAATATTGGCTAATGCGAGCAGCATGTGGTAGGGCATTATCCCGCTGATAATGGGCAGTAGGCACTCCCTGAAAGTAGGGTGTGTTACTGGCTGTTGCACATCCATGTATCTCTGGGCCATTATAATACTCTGAATACAAACTAGAGGTGACCTGAAATTGTATGCAGTTCTGCCACAAACCATAATGCCACATTTTCACACTGTAGAGCTTTTCACTCTTGCTATTGGATTGGACCTGTCTCTACATCGACGCCACACCCGAGCTTGGCGACTATCATTGGAGAAACGGAAGTGTGACTCATCCGAGAGCACAACCCTCTGCCATTCCATCTTCCACATGCCGGAAACCGGCACCATTGCATATGTTGCTGTCTGTGATGTGGGGTCAGTTGCAGTCTTCTTAATGGACACCATGAGTGCTGGCTGCTAGCCACCGATGAATGGCAAATGATTCTGGTCGAAATGGGGACATCCAGGGTATCTTAAACATGCTGGCATGGAGGTAGAAGTGACTTATGGGTGTGCTACTGTTTTGTCGGCGGATGTGTAGATCCACGAGTGCTGATGTCACTCTGGCTGCACCGGTACCCTTTGAACATGCCACATTTCCTTGTTCCAATTATCATCACCTCAGCCGATGCACTGTGGACGTGTCCAAGTATATATCAGCTGTGATTCGTCCATTGACCAACGTGCCCTTCTCATTCCGATCACCATGCCTCTTGTAAAATTGTCTGTCTGCTGGCACTGCCTTCGTTGACGATGGCATGGTATTTCTGTGCTGTTACATGTGTCTCCTGAGACAAGAACAAATTTTCTGCAGGGATTTCCCTAGCAGACATAATAGCAGGAAAATTGAACATTCTGCAGCTTCCTTCCCTTATATCTTCTTCATTGTGCACTGGAGACCTGCACATTTAACATCATTCACATAACTCGGTGACGTGCGTCTGCCCAGAAATTTGCATAATTTTCGGATCACTCTTTAGTGTCACATTTTCGATGTCAGGTAGTGAGTGTAACATGTGTATTCTCTGAACTGATATTTATCATGCCAAGAAACATGAGACCATCAGTGAGTTTTTCTTCTATATTGCTGAACATTTGATCCAATAGGGTTCCTTTATGGATCCAGTCCTTTGGTCCTTTAATAATTTGAATAATATTGCAAGATGCCGTCCTTGTGTTTCTTGATTTAGGAACAGATGACCACTTTGCCATTGAAAAAAATTTACCTGTGTAAATAATAGATTTGTCACATGACTAAAAAAATTTCAGAAATTTTTCAACTTTTTTAGCTTTATATTTTCATCTTTCCGAGTTTGCTTTTTAAGTGTTGTTTCTTCTTCATTGTCAAATGAAAATTCCTCATTTTCAGCTTTGTCGCTGTATTGGAATATACTATATACAGTGGTGGCCAAAATTGCGGACACTTTTGGAAATTTTTATGTTTTTGAACTTTGTATGCTTATAGAAAACGTTACGTTTCACAAAATGCAAACTTGTATATATCATTTTAAAAAGAATTTATTACTGAATTCAATACAAAACACAAAATTCAATTATTTGCAATACAAAAAAGTTAAATGATAATAGTTATCGATATACATTAGATAATGATGATTGCAGTGAGTTATCAGTACTTAGTTGGGTACCCTTTATTTTTTTATTACAGCTTCACATCGATGTTTCATTGAGCTGACAAGAGTTTTAAGCTCTTCTTTCATTATTACATGATGCCAGGAAACAATTATAGCCTCAATTAGTTCTCTTTTATTTGATGGGTGCCTCATTCGGACAAGAGTTTTGAAATGGTGCCACAAATTTTCGATAGGATTGAGGTCAGGACTGTTTCCTGGCCATGACAACAATTTAATGCTCTTTGTATGAAACCACTCTTTCGTTATTTTGGCCGTGTGGCAAGAAGTTTTGGTTCTAGAATAGTGTCAATGTATTTTCTGGCAATCAGTGTCCCATCGATGACATGAAGGCGACCAATACCGTCTGCTGACATGCATGACCAAATCATAACACTAACTGGGTTCTTCACAGTTGCTTGAATACATTCAGGATGTAGCTCTTCTCCTATTCTACGTCTTGCATGTTTTCTCCCATCACTACCGAATAACGATATCTTAGTTTCATCACTCCTTATAACTTGTGACCACTGATCATCTGTCCAGTTAATGTGTTCCTTTGCCCACTGTAGTCTTTTTTTTTTTTTTCTTTTCATTGCTGAAAATTAAGATAAGGCTTTTTTCGTGGAATTCTACCTCTCAGTCCAACATCTGTTAATCTTCTCCTGATTGTTCATGAACTGACGGAAACACCAGCATCATTCAGATCACTTCTGATGGCCGCTGATGACATTCTTCTATCTTGGAGACATAGTCTTTTTTATCTTCTGTCATCAATAGATATGGTGCACCTTTTACGGCCTTTTCCTTCCTTGTTTTTTATTGAATTTGTCTCCTGATATCGTAAACAAAACTTTTGGGCTCTAGATGTAGTCACTGAACCACCTACCTGTCTTGCAATTTCAGCATAGGAAAGACCACTTTCTTGTAACACAATAATATTACATCTCTTTCTAGGTGTCCAATCTACTCTTTTATTTGATGTCATTGCTTCTTGACTAAATATTAAAAATTTTTACAAAAATTCCTACTTGTAATTGCAGTGCATAAGAAACAGGTCCTCCTACAGAACAAAGCAAAATAATGAATTGTTTCAAGTGTAAACATGATGTCAGTTTCTACTGGCAATTCATTTGATTGGTTCTCAGAACAAGAACAGTGATTGGCCAGGAAAGCTAGACATTACAAACCACTTCATAACTGTTTTTTATTTATATTAAAGTACATATAACTTTTTTGTATTGCAAATAATTGAATTTTGTGTTTTGTATTGAATTCAGTAATAAATTCTCTTTAAAATGATATATACAAGTTTGCATTTTGCGAAATGTAACATTTTCTATAAGCATACAAATTTCAAAAACATAAAAATTTCCAAAAGTGTCCACAATTTTGGCCACCACTGTATGTATATGAATGCATTCCAAAGTTATATTAATTTCACTATTTGCTGCTTCATTATGTAGTTGTCTGAATATATGTATTAGAGTACCATAATTTTTATGAAATATACTTAAATATTATTTTCAGTTATCGTCCTGAAAATAGGATTTTCTCTTGAATTTGTTAACCTTTCTCCAGTATTTGGAGTATTTTCCCTTCAGATATATAGCGTTAGTAGCTAACTGTTCATTAATTGTTGACTAATTAAAGGAAATTTTTATAGAATTTTGTGTTGATTTGTCCTATAATAGTTTTTTTTTTTACTAAAGATCTCAAATTTTTCCCATATTATTTTTAGGTATTTTTCGATAAAATATGTTTAAAGAACTGCATATATTTTACAGGGGTGTTTGTGTGCAACCTCCATGTTTTTGTATTATCATGGAGTATTGCCCATCAGGAACACTGCATGGATTGCTTCGTCGGGGTACTGAAATTCCTCCAAAGAAAGTAATGGAATGGTCGAAGCAAGTGGCTAGTGGAATGAACTATTTGCATACTCATAAAATAATCCATAGAGATCTGAAATCTGATAAGTAAATATTGTTGTGATATGTGTAAATATTTATATTCAGTGATTATATCTATTTTGTATAGTTAGTTTTTATTATTTATTTTGTTCTTACCATGTTTAATTTTGTTTATTTCTAGTTAATTTCTGTATGATTTTCGAAATGCAGACTCTTATTGTATATATGTCCAAATGTTTTATTATTGTGTAGTATTTGGAATTAACTAGAAATACAGGCTGGGTTTTGGCAATGTATTGAAGGTTTTTCAAAATCATATTTCAAGAAGACCAATTTTTCTAGCTTGTTTGTCTCTCAACCCTTTCAGAACCAATTTCGCGTAGGTATGATGCAACGATTCCACTCTTACCAGCGCAGCATCTCTTATATATAAAGAGCTCTGATCAGTATCTTCAACCCAACGTCGCGTATACGTAACTTCAAAATGGAACTCTTTTTTTTTTTTTTTTTTTTTTTTTTTTTTTTTTTTTTTTTAAATTTTTAAATGCCAGTAGATTGTGCTAAAATGGTAATGTTCGCACATCGGTTAAGTCGTGGCTTTTGACCTTCATTGTATGAGCATCAGCTTCTGTTCTTTGCTTCTGGTTTTGGTAGATTTATTGTTGTAAATGCAGTGGGAATCACAGCTCTTTAAGTTGAAGGGGCACCTGCGTGTTTATTTCATTAGGAGGTTTTTGTTGTTGTTGTTGTCTTCATTTATTTTCTTTGCGTTTTTTATCATTAGAATGGGGGGATGTCCAGCTCAGTGTTTTCGTTTATTTTTTTTAGGAGAATATGGGAAAATACATCTAGCTGACTATATAGCAGGTGTAATGTCGCCGAACTTCCATGATGGAAAAATTCAGACCTGTTGTCCTTTTTTATATTTATTTTAAAACTTAACCTACAGATAATTACTGCTTAATTTTTTAAAAAATTCATATTTGTAATTTTGTTTTCTTGTGTATAGTATTTGTTTTCATGCGTATAGTTATATATTTAATATTTCATGTTTCATTTATTCCTAATAATGTGATATTCTTTATATTAATACATACTAAAACTTAATATATTGAGTACGTACATTCAAAAATTAAGGTCAGTATATTGAAATGCTAATTTTATATGAATTTTTTTGTAAAAGTAAGCTTAACTGCTGAAAATGAGTGGGTCGGTGGTGATGTTCCATTTCAGGGGATCTGGTCCCCTGGCTGCACTTTGTTCTCTGCGCATTGGTCCTCAAGGTGTAAACATCTGTTTAGGAAAGAGTATACACTTTGACATTGGTAAAAGGTTTGAGTTAGTTTTCCCTTTAGAAATGAGTGGTTTATTTGCTGAGCGATTTAGCCTTTGCTCTGTTCATTTCTGTATAAGCAGAACAAAGCAGTATCTCGTGGTTTTGCATGAGGAACTTTAAGGTGCGTTTCGTCATCGTTAAAATAACGGTGAGATTTTGGGAATTATGCTGTGTTCAACAGATTGTAAACATTTAATATAAATAACTAATTTACTATACTAAAGTATAAAACAGTAGGTTAATGGTGTATTTGTTGCCAATCAAAAGAATATTTTTGTTTTCATGTGTCATATGTTTAACTGTCCATGTATTTCATAAAGCATCCCAGTTGGTATATCACTGAGCAGATTAGTTTAAGAATCCATATTTTAGCCTTCTCAGTAACAAGAAATTTAAATTTATCTTGATTTACATTATACGAAGTTAAGAGGCTTAACCTTTCCTTTTTCATTGCTACAAGCCATTGCCAAAATTTAGCAAGGTATTGCCTTCCTCCTTTTTAAACTCCATGGCTTTAGAAATACTATCTATCACAATCTTTTATGAAGATATCATCCTTTCTTTAGAAATTTCTTTAAGTACCATATCGTATGATTTCTGATATATTCCTTATTAGTTAAGCATACGGTGGCTAATCTCTGGAATATGGTAACAGGTAGTTTGGCGACATTTTGGTAAGGCAATAAAGAATACTAGCTAGGACTTTAGCAGTGTACATGGATAAAGTCAAGAGTGTGCGCAATGTCATTTTTGTGCAATTCTGTTTTTTTTTTTTTTTTTTTTTAAGTGAAAATAGGTCAACGTGTACATGGATACCGTGTACGTGCAGTTCTTAAAAACGCGGCAAGCAGTGGCGATTCTGCACTTTCTCCCCATTTCGCACCTAATCTTCATCATGATTAAGCTCTTTTGTTACATAAAAGTTCTAGCATAAGCGTAATTGGGCTAGCAGATTGTTGGGAAAAAATGTTGAGTTAAAAAAAAAAAAGGCCTTCGTGAAAACAAAATGGCGTCCAAAAAAAAACTAGCAGGTTGCTGTAGCAGGATTGGTCGCCGAAAAATCGCCAAGTTACCATAATCCAAAGATTAACCCATACGGTTTTATTTCAGAAAGTACAACTTCTGAAGAAATATTTTAAACATCTATACATTAATGATACGAATAATAAAAGCATACATTGTACAGTACAAAGTCCGAGATCCGGACTCATTGGGACTTTGGCAATTCCGAATTTGGGATTTTTCCGGGATATTGGATCATCAGTTTAAATCTAGTAAGATGGCTTGTAGAAATTATAAAATTAATAATATGAAATCGTGATTTATGAAATGATGAAGCATATATGATCTAAAGGGTAAAAAAATTTACAAAAAGAGAAGCTCAATATTTATTTGTTTACTTTATTCAACATTTCTTTGAATGCAAATTTTTTATGCTTATACTTTCTCTTCATTTCTATAGACAGACATAATTTCTTGTTCAGTTATAAAGTTCCACTGATCAAGTCCTGTAGTTACTGTGTCGAGAATTCCAACTAACTTGTCAATCGAAATTTTTTCGTTTTCAATAACCTGTGTTACTTACTTCACTATCGGTAGCAGTATTTTCTGAATCTAGAACCATACTAAAGATTACGCCGTCCGTTAATTGATTGGAGCATTGTTATCGCAATGAAAAACTTCCGTTATATCATTTTCATTTATTACTACTTCTCCACATTTCTTTACAAAATCCATTAATTCGAAAATTTCACCTGTGGTTTGTGATATTTGAAAGTCTTCAAATTCGTGGCTATAATATTCATCGTCACCATGAAAATAGGGTAGCTGGCCATAAATTTTGCCAAGCAATTTTTAAAGTATCTGGAGGCACATTCACCAATCTTGTGATGTTACACGCAGCAGATTTTATGCTAAAATATTTTTTAAATTCTTGAACAGTCTTCCCATAATTCAAGAAATTTAACATGCATTTTAAAAATGCTACTTTATATTTGCATTTCAATGTGCGCACTGTTACGATATTCGTAGGCTGAATGATGGATGTACAGTGTGGAGCAAAGAATAACACGGATACAGTATCTGCCCTTAAAACTGTAAAGTGAAAAATGAGCCGATCTACAATCAGGGCAATTTTTGCATCATCAGGTAAACCAACCAAATTCAAATTTCACCAAGCCTCGGGTATGAAATGATTTTCAAATCAATCATACATTAAAACATGTGTCATCTGTGCTGTTTTATTTGCATGATATACAGTGGGAAAATCTTTACTCCGTTAAATACTCGAGCTCATGTATTTTTCCTGATTACGAAAAGTTTACACTTGTGTATTCTGCAGCATTTGCGCATGCTAAAATTGTTAATCTTGGGTCCCAGTGCTTTCCCTAAATTCTCAAAATTTTATCATTCCTTAATTTTGTTACTCGGTGTTCATTAAATTCCAAAATTTTTGTTTTTCATAAATTATGATGCACAGTGCAGCCATACGAGCTCTGTTGCCGGTTATGGGTTTATGTGAATAAATAATTCCTTATTCTTAACTCAAATAGCACTAAATGTAATCTTTTGCCCTATGAGCATCATGAACAAAATATATTTTTAGAATATGGAATGAAATTTTTGTTAAATTTTTCCTCTTCAACTTTGATCTGTAATCAACACCAAGTGTAGTGTCAACATAAAAGGTTTCTGTACGCTTAGTTATTCAACTAACTAATATAAAAAAAAATTTATGCATCACTGCATGAGTCATTACTCAAGTTGCCATGTGTTGATAAACATACAGTGATGAAAGCAAAATATAAAAAATAATGATTCACCAGGTTGCCATCAGGGATACAAAATATTAGTAGTTGTAAAATCAACAAGTTTCTATGTAGAATGTTTCGGTTTGAGATGTACGCCAGGCAGATATGGAGTCAAATTATTGATCACACAAATGTATGCTAAAAATTTGTTTCTTCAATAATGAGGAATTTTATTTAGTACTGAAATGAAATTAAGAATCGGGATTCTCCACATATTTTCTTACGGGGGGGGGAATCAAATGCACAAGAGTAAAACATAAAAACAATTTTTTGTTGGAGGCTTTAAGGTCCGAATTTTAGATCATATCGGATATTAGACTTCCAGATTTTGGACTTTATACTGTATATAAAAATAAAAAGTGAACCTTTTTTTTTTTTACAACTATCCTTTTTACTGTCATTTAGTATACTTTTATGAGACAGCTTTTAAAAATTGTAATGTTTTTCATCTCTCCCTTCCAGCATATTAATTGGCTACAATGATGTCTTAAAAATTTCTGATTTTGGAACAAGCAGACAGTGGAATGAAAAAAGTATGAAAATGTCATTTGCTGGAACAGTTGCTTGGATGGCTCCAGAGGTCATCCGGAATGAGGTCTGCTCTGAAAAAGTGGACATTTGGTATGAAGAGTTTGATATTTTATTCCTAAAATATGTAATGACATTGTAATAATATATTGATTAGATGCTCTTATCAGGTTAAGTGCCAGTGGTAATTTTAGTTTGTAGTGAAGATGCTGGCTTTATTTTCTAGTTTCTGAACTAGCAACTAACCCTAGAACCCTAGAACTGATACTAACAATGCTGCCACTTGGTAAATGTTATTTAGCTTAAAAGTTCCTATAACTGGCAGGGCAAACCTTTATACATCTTGCCAATTTTTTGAAAGAAATATTTAATGTAGCCATGACGTGCCTACGTAATCAGAGCTGGATAATCATTAAGAAAAATTAGTAAGTGTTAGGCATCAAGGATAAGGCACAACACAAAAATCGCCATTCCTGATTTTGTCATGGAATATATGGTGCGGCTAAACCAAGATTGTAAGAAAAAAACATACTGTGAATGTATTGTATGGAAGCACCAAAATCTTTTTTAAATGTTTTTTTTTTTTAATTCGGCTACACATACAATGTTAACTTAGTGATTAGGGAGGAAAAAATAAAACCAAATATTTCTACATTAATACTCCTTATTTTCAACAAGAAACAGACATTTATCCAGCAGTCAAAACATTAACAGTTTTATGTTTATATAATAAAGAAAAAATTTGTTTGCTTTCTTCTATTGCAAATTAGATGCCAGAAAATGTATACGCAGTTGTTACTTTCAGCAGAATTCAATCTGCAGTTATCTGAAAAACAATTTCTAAGCAAATCTTTAATATTATTTATTTCTGAAAATAATAGCTCACAGGCATAGGTAGTTGTAAATATTTTTCAAATTGCTATCTGACAAAACAGTCAAAACATTAACAGTTTTTATGTTTATTTAATAAAGAAAAATTAGTTTTATTTATTTTTGAAAATAATGACTGACATGCATAGGTAGATGAAAATATTTTCAAAATAGCAACTTCAGATAGTTGATTCAGGAATTGAATTCTGTGTTTCCATAATTTTAGTATTTTCATGTTTGATCCTGTTCTCTGGTAGTTTTTTTAATTCAATTAATTCCACTTTTCCCCTTGTTTTGATAAATTTTTGAATATTTTTTGAATTAAACTGGAAACAGTTAGCTGCATTTCAATTTTCAACCAAACTTAGACAAATTAAGTTTATCAAGTGGGGAAGTCATAAAAAGCTGTATGACTTTTGCTTGGTCTGGTTTTTTTTTTTTTTTTTTTTTTTTTTTTTTTTTTTTTTGTGCATGTGTGTGTATGTGTGTATGTGTATGTGTAAATCCCAAAGGGCTGGTTAAAGCTTTGCAATTTAGCCTTAAAATGCGAATGAGATCTGTCATAGCGATAACTGTTTTCTTTGTGCCTTGAAGCTTTGCATTTAAATTGAAATGCACAAGCATTTGAAATATTCATGAAAGTCATCAATTTAATGTTAATTCTGAATGTTGTTCAGTTTTGCCCTCATTTTTGTAAAAACAGACTGATTTCTTCCAAGTAATCAACAAATCTTTGAAGTATGTTACCATGGCTCAACCAGCAAACATTGCTGTACATCAGTAAGTCATTGTACATTAAATTGACTTCATCTAAGAAAGTGTCAAACTTTTGTTTCTTTAGAGCCTTTGATTATGTGAGGTTCCATATTTTTGTGACTATGGCCATTATATTAACCAGAGAGGCAAAATTATACATTGCATACAAGGCTTGTTGATGCATGATGCAGTGAAATTCAAGTATTGAATGTCCAGTGTGCGTTTGGAAAAACTTGTAAAACCATTACTTTTACCCACCATATTTGGAGCAGCATTAGTTGTTACTTAAATAGTTTTATTTAACTCTTTGAAGACCAAAGTGCCCGAGATGGCTTTTAGTCAGAAAACCACAAATGCCTGAAATGGCCCGGATTGCAATCTTGTTTTCTTCCCTTCCCCTAAGATGTGCAGTTCCCCAAAGGCATTGTATCAGTTTATTGTGGACAGCTCATCCTAAAACAATTTTGTAGCTTCTTATCTTTATTTGTTAAGAAGCAGAAAACATGTCATTTGAAATCTTCATACTTCTGTGTGCGTTAATAGATGGGAAGGGGAAAAAATTGCTGTGAGCCTCGAAAAGCATTTCGGGTGGTTCAATATTTTAAGCAGGTATAAGGTTAGTGAAGACTTTGTTTTTCAAAGCGTTAAATCTATTTCTTTCTCAGCAGGTGAATTTAAAATAGCGCTTTGAAAACTTTCTTGGCAAATTATGTGTTTTGTAAGCGTCACTCGGAGACCTGACGTATGGCCAGTTTTCGCAGCACCTATTAGATTGTCATTTAGAAAGGCAAGGCAAGTTTCTGGCAACTTTTTAATTTCCAGTAACCTTGAGAATCAAGAGACTCGCATGTGCATTGCATGTTGCACACACACACACAAAAAAAAAAGCCTTTTCCATTTTCATATAAACTACAACAGCAAAATCGGCTTAATCCAAATATACGGTACATGTGGGATTTGGCGACATTAAGATGAACAGTAAATGGCATTTTGGCATTGGTGATAATTTTCAAAATCATGCCAAAGCCGTACCATGTAGTAGGATTTTACCACAAAATCTTTTAAACCTTTTATTTTCTTTTTAATAATTGCCTTATTTGCAGTAAAATTTAAAAAAAAAATAGTAGTCTGTCATCTAGGCTAACCATTTAATATAACTATATTCGTCAAAATATCACTGATTATTGTATTTAAATTTTTAATCTTTAAGTAATTAACTTTATTTTATATCACTTAATCTGGCTTCTTCCTTTTAAGTTTATTTATTATTAGTTAATAATAGTTTCAAATCTCAGGGAAGTTTCTGTGGTATACTCCTGAAACTAATTCAATTAATAAAATACCTCAATTTATTTTAAAATATCCTTAAGTAGATCTTTATTTCGTTTAGCTTCAAAATGTCTGCAAATGAAAGAAATTTTTTAATCCAGATTGGGCAGATTCTAATCTCAACCTTGAGTGGAGAAAACAACTCCTGTTATAGTCATGTTTTTGGGGATTATATATATGTCTTGTGTAATTGACAGTTTTTTGTGCTTTCAAGGGATACCATAATTAATTTACCTTTCAGCACACTACGTGGATAGAGTGGAATTTTCTTAAAACACACCTGAAAAAAATCAAGGAATTTTATTCTCCTGTTAAGCATAATTAAGATGGGCAGAAAGATTACCTTAAGCTTTAAAATGAATACTTGCTTTATTTGTCTTTATTATGCAAGGTTTTTCTGTTAAGTAAGTCCTTTTACATCCTTTTACTTTCAAGTGAATAGCTGGTTCAGGCTGGGTTCAAACCCTGGTTAGCTTGCCATTAATGGGAAACTGAAGAAGTTACTTTCTTAAAAATGAAGTGAGACAGGCGATACTTTTCAGTCAAAGTCAGGACATCCAAGGCTTTTACTAGGCACTCAACTTAATATTCGAGGTTCTTATATTTTGTTCATTTTTCTTTATCCATTGCTTTCCTGCCTCAGCATGTACTGTAAGCAATCTATTTTTAAAAAAGTAGCTTGCAAAATTCGTCTCTCTCTAAAAAAGTTTTGAAAATGACAAAGCAACACTAACGTGGAAATTAGAAATATTTTATAAGTACCATTGAAAATCTCCTCTATAGTGGTAAAGTTGATGTGAATGTGTGAATATCTTGCAGTGTAATTGATTGCTAGCTTAAGTAATGCTTTCTCTAATTATAGGTCTTTTGGTGTTGTTTTATGGGAATTACTTACATGTGAAACTCCATACAAAGGAGTTGATTCCTTAGCTGTTATGTGGGGTGTTGGAAGTAACAGTCTACATTTGCCTGTTCCATCCACTTGTCCTGATGGATTTAAACTTCTCCTGAAACAGTGCTGGTAAGTAAAAAGTGTTCTTCAACATGTTTTTTCATGTTAACTAAGTAATGTATAATTATTATGCTTATTTGCTTGATATGATTGGCTGGATATTTCATATTAAGTAAATAAGTATATTTTTTTGTGAAGTTATTCAAAGTATTAGCTTTAAGTAAGAAAGTTAAGTTAAAAGTAATCGTAAAGTTTGAAAATGTAAGGATAAATTTAATCCGAAAATAACAAAGGTCAGGCAAAAATTACTTAGTTGCTCAAGTGTCAAATTTTATGGTTCATTGAAAAAAATTATTGTTCATTAGACATTCATTAATGTGAATGATTATTCAAATAATTAGTAACACATTTTTTCTAAAAATATTGTATCATTTGTTTGCTAGCAGTGGTAGTCATGAAATATCACCAAGTAGACTTGCAAATTTTGCAAGGTTCCGTAATTTAGAGTTAATTTAACTTGAAATATTGCTGAAAAATAGCATTTATTATATGGAACTGTTTCTTCAGTTAATATATGTAGGGTTATATATTTTGTTATGTATTTTATCTATCTAATCTTTCTCTATATATCTTTATATAGAGACTAAAAAGTAACAAATTCCAAACCAACTTTACAAAGACATGAAAGAAATAATTACATTCAACAATAATAATCTTGAACAAGCAACATCTACCCCAACTGTTTAAAACTAAACAAGACAAATAAGTATCATTTAATTGTAGATTACCTGAATCTAAGTATTTGTAATCTAAAAGAAGTAAATCTTTTTGATAAAAGAAAATTCAATTTTTCAACAGTTAAATTTAAAATTGGAATACTAACATCTCTAAAAAAGTCATTGCAAATAAATTATTAATCAAATTTATCAGAATCTAAGAAGTATGTACAGAAATTTAACATCAGCAGTGAAATATTTTTCTTCTTATTAAAATTTTACAAGAAAATTAAATTCCAGTTTACTTCCTTAACATTCAGCTTAGAAAAGCTGGAATCAATGTGCAATTTTTCTCAACTTTACCTTTATTAACTGAGGGTCTACTATATTCTAAGTTGTCATGATAAGCCCATAGTGTGAAAATTTTATTCATTGCTAACATTTGTCTTATATTTCTTTTTCTTACTTGCATTACTTTAATGCTGTCCAAAATCAGATCTTATTATGAATTCACCTTTTGGTAGAAAGTAGACTTATTATTGTCATTTTGTAATGCCAATAGGCCAAACAGGCAAGGCTAAGCATCTCTTTTTGCCTATTTTGAATTTCTCTAGTTCTAACAAAGATTAAGTAATCTTTTTTTCTTTAATAATATATTTGTTTTCAGTTAATAATGCTTATTAGTATGTATGACTTGAGATCTTTCTCTAGATTTTGTAAATTATTATGTTTTAATTTGAATTTTAAACCACCTGTTTGTTAACTTTAAAGCTGCCTATGACAGTATTAACTATTTGAAGTGATGTTAGAATTTAATATCCTAAAGAAACTGATAAGCCTTACAAGGATGATTCTTAAAAAAGTGATATATAGAATAAAAATTTCAACATACCTTTCAGAAGCTTTGTATACTGAGAAAAGATTAAGACAGGGAGACTTACTATCTTGCCTGCTGTTTAATATATCTTTAAAAAAGGCCATAAGAGTTTCTGGAATAAGCATAAGAATAACATCTTCCATAGAACTATTCAACTGCTGGCTTTTGCCGATGACATTGATATCATTGGGTGATCAAAACAAGCTGTGGTCAAAGCTTTTGTCTCACTTGAAAATGCAACAAGAAAAGATGGGCTTAATCATTAATGAAGACAAAACAAAATTTATGATTGCATCTAATAAAGCTGTTAGTTTATCCACCCTTGAAGATAATTAATTATACCTTAGAAACCGTAAAACAATTTAAATATCTGGGCACATTGATCACAAGTTGCAATGATATAAAAATTGAAATAAAGAATAGAATATTTATGGCTAATAGATGTTACTACGGCTTTAAAAAATAACTTAAATTCAAACTAATCAATGTAAAAACTAAATTCAATTTATATAAAATTTTAATAAGGCTTGTTGCCATTTATTGAAGTGAATGTCGTATACTTAACAGAGCAGAGCAATACCTGAATATCCCAAGAAAGATCTTTGGACTGGTACAACAAAATGGCATCTGGAGGGTTCTGTATAATCAGGAACTATATGCAAAATATTGGAATTATAGTGAAACTGATATCATGAGAATCGTAAATGCATCTCATATCAGATGGCTGGGCCATGTGTTTAGATATGATGATGCATTTCCAACCAAAAAAATAACCTTTTCGAGAATTAAGGGAGTAAGATGAAAAGGAAGACCACCCACTAGATGGATAGATGATGTCAAGCAAGATTTAAGGTTAATTGGAGTTAACTGATGGAAGGCTGTTGTGCCAAATGGGATTAGGTGGAGGAAACATGTAGAGACAGCCTTAGCCTGTAACAGGCTGTGGAGCTTATGAAGAAGAATTTGAATTTTAATATTAGTAAATTGTATATATCACTGTATTAGGAAACGTGAATTTATTTAAATTTGTATTTTTGTAGTATTATTGCATATGTAAGGAAGGCAGCTGATGTGTAGACGAGGCATTCAGAATTTTCAGATGAATTATTATTAATTTATTCAAAATGGTTCATCCACTAATTTTTTATGATCAGAAACAGTGGTATTCCTAGCAAATGGAGTTCAATTGAGATTTGATCTACCTCTCCCATAACATTAAATCAGATTTTAATTGTATTTTCTTTCCTTTTCTGTATGTATTTATATCTCATTCTATTGTTTTCAAAATTTCTTCTGATTTAAAAACGGTTAATTATATCACTTCTTAGTATATAATTCATTTTTCAGTACCATATTGCACAGAAATGGTTTTGGGATGATTTTGTTTTGAATATATAATGCAAAATAAATAAAAAATATGTTTACATGTTCCTTTTTTTAACTCTGTCTGCTTAAATAGAAAATAATTTGTATTACATTTTCAAGCTTTTTTGCTTGCAAGCTAAAATTTTGAAGAAAAAAAAGGGTATTTACATGGTATTGCTTGTATTTACATGGTTCAATTTTTTAGCTGAGTCTGATAAAAATATAAAAAAATAAAAAAAAATAAAAAATTTTTAAAGCTTTTTTATGATTTTGATCCTAGTTTCCAATTTCTTGCACTATATGCTGCAGCCTGTAGGAGTTGGACTGATAAGAACAGAGATTAATTTTCTGAGATTAAGTACTAAACCTTATCTTAGTTGGTTCAGAAACAGGCTATTGCATTTTCTTCTTTCATTGCACCAACTCCCGATTGATGATGCAATGAAAGATCTAAATTTTATGTTTCCTTTTTCTTTTTGGTCTTTGCATTTTTACACCTATGATGCAGTTTGTCACTGTGCTTCTGGCTTTATTTGGGGGGGGGCATGTGATTTGTATGTATTTTTCAAGTTAATTTATCTTATTTTGCATTATTACCACTACTTGGTCTTGCCTTCAGCACATAATTGGATTAGGATTTCAATTGCTTTTTACTTAGTATTTATTCATTATATATATATATATATATATATATATATATTCCAGCTTTACCAGGCAAATTTCTTTTTGTCTATGTAGTACTATGTCACAACATTTCGTGGAGCTACAGCTCCTGGTAACTTTTTAGCAAGGTTGCTGCAATGTTCCTACCTACTACTATTCTTTCAAATCTTTTTGCAGCATTATGAACAAAAGTTTGAGACCAGATAGGTCTTTCGTCGAATTACCAGTTTGCTTTACATTTTCTTATTCAATTATATATATATATATTTGAAATTTGAATTTTTAGAAGGTTCCTATTGACTAAAAGATTCTGAATAAAAGCATGTACAGATACATAATATTTAAAAAGAAGTGGAATTGAAAAAATTTAATGAAAATGAACACAATATAAAAATAGTAAGAAAAATTTGACATACGCTGAATAGATAACAAATAATAGACTGTTTATGTGTTCCTGCAGCTAAATGCAACTACACAGGCTGGAGTCCCAGCTGATTACCCACATATTAGGCTAGGGATGGTAGTCTAACCAAAAGCCACTTGAGATAATTGCAAATTCATTTACCAAGCACTCAGGTCCCATACTGGGTTCATACAGATATTCTAAAATTCTCCGACCTCACATTTCGAGCCAAGCGAAGAGGTCATCATTCCCTGTTGTCAGCGTTACTTGTATGGTGTGACATATTCCTTGGAAGTTTGACCAGTTGCTTTACCAGTTTCATTTTCTGCCGTATTGTGACCATAAATAAGTATAGTTTTTATAAACAATTTTTATTTTAAGTCGATTACACAAGTTCAAATCAGACGTCAAAACTTTTTCAAATATTGCATTTATAATTTTTTTTTAACTACAGTGAAAATAATGAATTTTTAATTAAAGTTGACTTTTTTGATGAACACACAAAACTTTAAAAAAACTTTACAGGAGATAGGAAAAAAAAACAAAAACATGCATCTTTTAAATACTTGCATTTCCCCCCCCCAAAAGTCAGCTTTGGTATGATACATTTTAAAACATGAAGATAAGCAGAATCCAATATCACAATCAAAACAAAAATATCTGGTTTCTTTTCTAAAGTGTTTTCCGCTGGCATTCCTTTTTAAGCCTAAACGAAAAGCTGTAAAACATGTCCTTGAACTGGTTTTACAATTCATTCCCTCCAGTCTTAGAGATATTTATTAGAAACACTGCAAAGTAAAAAAAGTGAAAAAGCCAGGTAAATCAGCAGATTGGTGTGTGTGGGGGGGGGAGATTTGTGGTACCTGAAAGGTGTTCAGGCGAAACTGTTGAATGGTTAAATTGCTGCCACCGGTACTATACGAGCTGCCCATCAATCACCAAGGACACTACCCAGGATATCCGCCCCACCGAGCTACTGCTACCTTCGTATCTAGGACTTACACCAATCTCCCAGATCTCACCATAATGAAATGATCATCCCTGAGTTCTGAGACTGCCAAGCTGGTGATTTTATACCACTGTGGCCAAGACTGCTTAGGTACAGATCCTAGCCAGTAGCTTCATAGGTTTTTCTGTGACAACCCCAGGGCAAGTGTTAAATAGATATGAAAGTAAAGAATAGCGGAAAAACTTTTGCATGTGAAAAAATATTTACTCGCTTCTCAGATTAAAAAGTTAAAAAAAAAGCCTGCAAAAATTTTCTTTTATTTCAGAAACTGCATTTTTAAACAAAATATGAGAAATCAGTAACCTGCTAAGTAAAAAGAAAAAATTTATAATTAGATCTTTAGTGTTTCTTTCACATGTACTAGTATGAGTAGTATATAATTTTATGTTTTTTTTTTTTTTTTTTGTATGCATCTTGAAATTTCCGAATTTGGTTAATGTTTGAATTAGAGATAGGCAAAACTGCTCCTTTAAGGGATCAGATCCAAACGGTTTGCTAACTGAAGTGAATCAGTTCTTTTTAACGATTCACTGCTCACTAACAATGACCTTGATGAATGTGCTCAGAACAGGCATGTGTCAAGAGCAGTGTGCAAAAATGGGAAATAGCAAAAAGAACAAGGAGGTGAGATTTCTGGAACAAACTCAACCAAACCACTTACGCACTGGACTGATTTCTTTCGACTGTAATTTAAGAGAACTTAGCAAAAGACTTTCTACGTAGTACAATGATAAAATTATGGAATTAAAAAATGCTGTAATTTAAAATGCAATGAAAACTAAACTCACTTTGATGATGATAGTTTTCATGACATTTTTTAAAAAGATGACATTATTTTATTATTGTCGTTGATATTTTGTTGCTACTAAAAAGCACAGTATAAAAGTAAATTTTTAGATTGGAGGCAGAAAAGGAAACTGTCTGCTGACAATAATACCAGCATCCCCCCTTTTTGTAAGTATAATTTAACAAAATGATATCATATATCGCTTGAGTTTCTTCTATTCGGTAGTGTCCACATTTTATTCTGCAACCTTGAAAAAAATAACTCTGAGAATCAGATTCCACAAGCCAAATTTGCAGCTAGAGCAAGAGTGATGAAAAGAAAGACTTTGCAGAACGACTGAAAATCATGACTCTGAAGGAACGAGATTTGTGGCTGGCGCCAGAGCGCTAACAGCTGAGAATCCGAGGAACTGGTTCCTATAACCTATGTACTTTAAACAGATCCTCACACTGCCAGATGGGAAAAAAACCTCCATCCATTTGCAAATAGAGGGGCCAGTTTTGCTGAGATGGATTGGTTTATTTAATGTTTTGTTTTTTAAATACTAGAATGGAACACAAGAAAACCCAAAATATACATAGACATAAAAAAATGACGGTCAGGGATAATTATGGTAAATAATAAAGAAAAGAATGCTAGCATTTACATTAAGAGGAAATCTATTTTTTTTGGCATGCTTTCTAACAGCTCTCTATAAACGCTTAAAGAACTGCTGCTGTGTTTTCGCTGGAGTACTAGTCATTCGTTCAGTAAAGTGAAACTGTTCTTTGAGTCAGTTCTAGAACGAATTATCCATTAACAAGGTTGTCGATCTGCCGGTTTTATTATCGATCTTTAGTTTGAATTATATAGAGATTTAATTTGGTGTCATGAACTTCAATATTTTCTACATGGAAATGGATGCATGTCATTTTGCAAGTATGGTTACTCAGCAACAATTAATCTCCAACACTACCATATTTATAACATCATAAAAAATAGCTGTGAGTATCAGAGAATTTCCATAATATAAAAAATGTTCATATTGATAAAATGGAAACCTTGTCAAAACGTGGAGGATTTTTTTATATCAGTTTTTCAAAACTCAAGAACATTCTGTAAATCACTAAATCATTTTCCAACATAACTACTTCATAAAAAAATACGTAAAAGTCCAAAAAGCTTCCTATTTTGCTAAATACATTTTCATTAGCACTAAAGTCTGAACTTCATAGAAGTAAAATTTCTAGCATTTTCATTTAATAATAAATAACATACTTGGCAAAACTTTTTAAAGTGAAATATTCAGAGAATGTAACATGCGATATTCAAAAGAAATATTTTCACACCATAGTAAATGAAAAAAAAAAAAGTTGACCATGTAATTAATGCCATCTATAAATTAAAAAACAAGCTAGATTCAGTGAAACGTGATTATAAAAACTGAAAGATTTGAAAATGAGATGTATATGCGATAATTGTGCGCATATGCATACATATCGTTGTAATAAAAATTTCAAGTGTGCAAATAATTTCTTCGTCCAGTCTCTGAACTGGACTAAACTGCATTATTGTAGTCACAATTTTTACCACTACTACATTATATTGCATTGTGATGTTATTACTGTATTTAAGAGTTAATTTTCTATTCTGTAAAAGCTGTTTTCTTTTTGAAACTTCCTTTGATTAATACTTTACTTAATTTCTGATTTGATAACCCCTTAAATATTTTGTGCATTATCATATACAACAAATAATCTGTTAATTTAAAAAAAGTGTTCCAGAATAAATAAATAATTTCTGAAATTACTTTGCTCATTAAATTTTTAATTTTTCAGGAGTGGGAAACCGAGGAATCGGCCATCTTTCAAACATATTTTGATGCATTTAGATATTGCTGCTGTTGAAATTTTGAGTACCCCTGAAGAAGAATATTTTCAGACTCAGGTAATCTTATTTTTATATATATGTATGCAATAGTTTTTGTGGTAGTGTTTATTTTGAAAACTGACCATGCATCCATTAAAACTCTTCACAATAGAAACCTGGCAACTAGATTAATGTTTACTTGTGTTAAGTGTGACTTTACTTGTAAAGTTATTTTTCAAATTTTATTGTTTAGTTGCTTATTATATGGAAATCTGTAATTTTAAGTATACTCTACCTAAATATGTTCCAGGCAACATGGAAAAAAGAAATTGGGTCCTATATGGAAAAGATGAATGATGACTCTAGCTGTGGATTGCATGTGGAAGAAGATTTGATTAAAAGGAGAAAGGAAGAACTCAAGCGTGCTCAAGACATTAGAGAGCATTATGAAAAAAAACTTGAAAGAGCCAATAATTTATATATGGAACTTGCTAATTGCCGCCTTCAGGTTGAACAAAGGGAACAGGAGCTAAAGGAGTTAGTACACACATTTGTCTTTTATCTCTCTCTGTGTATGTATATATATATACACACTTGAATACTTACCTACATATCTGTGTGATAAAAATTATGTAAAGCAAAATTATAACTTTAATTTGCATTAATTACATAAATCTCTATTTTAATTTACATATTTTCCCTTTCTGCCTAAAAGTAGCAACTGCATCTAATAAATTACTCTAAACTGCATCATTTCAAAATTAATTTCTGTAATATGATTTTTACAGTAACATTAATGATGCAGATACATGAACCTTCAGCCAGAAATAAGTGTAGAAAATTATTAATTAACCAATCAAAATACGGCTAAATCATTTTGAACTGGGATTTCATCTTTCAAGGGTCTTCCAACCTTAAACTCAGTTTTTCTGTATACACACACACACACACCACACACACTGATAAATATTGGAGCAGATAATAATTAAATAAAAAATTAGGTCTTAAAAGGAATTAACAGTTTAACAGGAAATGCACATATCAGGTTTGAAAAGTGAAATTAAAATAAAATGTACAAGATTGTTTTAAAAATTCCTTGGTCTCTTTCAAGGAGCAACCAAAGAATTTTCAACAGAGAACTGTTTGTGAATTATACCTGAATAATTGCCAGTTCTTGAAATAATTCAAATAAGTAATTAAAAAGAAATCAAAGTCCTTTAAAGTGTAACAAATTAATTTTTTTAAATAATTTAATTAATCATTAAGATGTAATCTGCTCCAATGTGACTTTAAAACAAAACTAACTAAAAATAAACATCATAAGAAGAATTATCTAGTAAGAAACACCCCCAACCCCCCAAAAAAATTGGGTGACTAAAAAGCAATGTGCTTAATTACGTAAATTTCGAATCAAAGAAAGCAAAATTGCTTAAAACTTTTTTGTAGGAAGTGAAACAAGGAATAAACTAAAATTAAAAAATTTATTAATAAAAATCTATGCAGGCATGTTTTCAAATTATGTGTGAATGAAAAAAACCTTGCAAAAATTAAAGACTATATGAGTAAATTTGGAAAATTTAAAACTGAATCAATTAATTCAAATAAATTTGAATTGAAATTTAAAAAGAAAATAGCCTACTGAAGTGTTACATCTGCATGGTTATTCTCTACATAACTTTTTAAGAATACTGTTTAGGAAATAGTCGAGTGGTAAGTGGATAGTGTAATGGGAGGGAAATAATAAATAGCAAGAAGAGGTGTAAAACTGAGTCTGTAAAGGTGAAAAATGAAAATGTTGGAGATTATAAATTAAGTGTTAAATTTGAAATAAAACAGGAATTCATTTTGTTATATTAAATTTGATTATCAAAAATTAAATTTTACAAAAACTGGTTATTTTAAACTAAATCCTAAAAATTAATCATTTTAATTAGTGGTTAAGTTGTGGAGAGAAATCAAAATTTGTACGTATTTTTTTTAATTAATAGAGGTAAATTGTGGTAGAAGATGTAAAAATTATTTTTTGTTTAAAAGCATTTCTAAGAGTAATGGGTAAAATGGGGATAGAAAAAGGTGTGTAACAGTTAAGTCTTCATGTATTTGGCATATAATAGGACTGGAATCATTCGTTTATTTAAGTATGGCAAAGCACTCGAAGGAATGCCTTTGTGGAAGACTTTCTAAGGAAAACAGGCTTGTATACATGAGGAATGGAGAATATAAATGGCCATTTTTATTAACAGAGATAGAGGGACTATTTACAAAGTTACAGGAATATTTATAGTTGCTATGCATCCAGCAAATACTTCCACATATAGTTTAATTAACATCTGTCATAAGAAAATTTAAATTAAGATGACCTAATATTTGAATTTTGGAGAAGTAGGTTAATAAAATTAAATGGAATTTGCATTTTGATCAGCATAATTTCTAGATATTGACTTTCTTGATTGTCTTCATTTGTAGGGCAGATTTATTTATTTCTTTATTTAATTTTTTTTTTATTTTTTATTCTCAGAGTCTGGTTAATAAGTACTTTTTTAGAAAAATTGGAATTATAATATATGAGTTTAATTCTAGGAAAATAAAGTTTTTTTTTCGTGGAAGTTTAATTTCTTTTAAGTTGATAAATTTAAGGTCGCGATAATCAATTTCATTATAATTGTAATTGGTTTTATCACGATTTAAACATTTAGAATAAATGTTTGCTGTTTCATTTATCCCTGAATTCTTGAAAGTGGTAAAGTCTTTAATGTATCTAAAAGTAAGATTTGATATTCAGGGTTGCCACGCTACCTGAAAAACCGGAAAAAGTCAGGGAATTCGGAAACTGACCAAAAAATTCAGGGAAAAGTCAGGGAATTTAAGTGTTTTAGTCAAAATCTGGAAAAGTCAGGGAATTTCATATAACGATCCCACCAAAAAAAACGAGTTTTGCGCTGACGTCGGAAGAGATCACTTTTTTGGCGAATTGTGTATCACGTGAGTGTCATTCGGGCAGCTGGCTTAGAGCCAATTTTCGCAGCTCCAATTTGATTGTCTTTTATAAAGGCAAAGCAAGTTTCCCCGCAACTTTTGGTTTCTAGTAACCTCGAGAATCGCATGTGCAGTGCATGAACTAAAGAAAGTACCTGTTCTCGTATAAAACAAAATGGGTTTAATCCTAGTATACGGTACCATGAAGGTTAGAATCAAAAAATATGTATTGTAAACAAGGAAAACCTCTCTGCAACAGACGTAGCTCCGTTCCATCATAGAGGGAAACAGCTGTGCATGCGCGATATATATGTCGCCAAAGCTCGAAACCGGTGTCGAAGTTCGAAGGTCATGTTATCAAGAGTTCATAAAATGAATATCGTTTAAAATTTCTTTAAACTCTAAAGGAAAAGAAAATATTTTTTGGCGCAAGTAAATATATTCATGGAGTAGTTATTTTGAGGGAAGGGGAACTACGAAAATCCGTTTTTAAAATTATTGCGAAAAATCCAAGAAAAAAACTTTCTTTGATAAAACGTTTCTTCTTGGATTTTTCACAATAATTTAAAAACGGATTTTCGTAGTTTTCTTTTTTGTCAAAGAACGTTTCTTCTTAACATGTGTTTCTCAATTTTCTGTACACATCGCGGAGAGGAAAATTCTGGCCGCCAGGTTCCGTTGCCAAATCCCTTGGCAAATTTTCCCTCCGCTTTCTAGCCGCGTAATAGCATTTACGTGCACGGAACCTTTTCTTCTTTACATAGACGTTCTTTGGTTAGAATAATCTCCATGTATGGTACAGCGGGATTTGGCGACATGATGATGAGCAGTAAACGGGTCATTTTGTTCTTGGCGACAATTTTCAAAATCGTGCAAAGGCCGTACCATATACTAGGATTTTTACCTCAAAATCTTTTTTTTTCTTTTCTTTTTAATAAATACCTTGTCATTTTGCAGTAAAATAAAAAATAGTAATCAGTCATCTAGGCTAACCATGTAATATAACTATATTCGCTAAAATATCATTGATTATTCTAATTCAATTTTTAAGTAATTATCTTTATTTTTGTTATTCATATCATTTAATGTTGCTTCTTCCCTCTAAATTTATTTATCATTAGTAAATAATATTTCCAAATTTCAGGAAATTTTCTCTGGCATAATCCTGAAATTAATTCTAGCAGTATGATGACATCACGAAATTTAATGCATATATTTTTTCCTTATGTATGCTGCGAAATAAATATAAAATACGTCAATTTAGTAAAAAAATATCATTAAATCGATTTCTTTCTTGCATTTAGCTGCAGAATGTCTGCAAAAAAAGCTTTATTTTATTCCAGATTGGGCAGATTCTAATCTCAATCTTCAGTGGAGAAAACAACTCCTATTATAATTATATTTGTGTTTTCAAGTGTTAAGGCGCCTTTTAAGAAGACACCTCACACAAATTAAATTTACCTAAAATCTAACCTAACTTTTAGCATTGCGTTGTGATTTATAAGAACCGGATTAGCCTCATGTTAAACTGGTGATGATCATGAGTAATAATTAAATAAAACGTACAATTGTTATCCAATGTATATATCTTAAATTTTATTAAATTTCTTAAGTGGAAAAGTAAACAAAATTATCAAACAAAGTGTACCAAGACTAATTAAGAATAAATTTACTCTGGGATTTATTGAATAATTAAGTGAATTTGCTACACAGTACAAATAATACCATAATTAATTTACCTCTTAGCACAGCCAACGTACATTATGCGGATAGACTGGAATTTTCTCAAAACATACCTGGAAAAGTCGGGGGAATTTCATTCTTCTGTTTGAGTGGCAACCCTGGATATTTTTATTTTATCACGGTTTTTTTACAAAACTGAGTGCTTGTACAGAAAAAAATAAATATGTTGAATAATAGGTGCTAGTGGAAATAATCATTAGGAATATTTTATCTTTAAATTTGATGAACTTATGAAAAACTTAACATATGGGATAGGTAATGCATTTTTTTAAATTAAGGATGTTACTGAGTGCTGAAAAAATTTGTGATAACTGATAAGATTGTGAACTTATGAAAAACTGAACATATGAGATAGATAATGCATTTTTTTAATTAAGAATGTTACTGAGTGCTGAAAACAATTTGTGATAACTGATAAGATTGTGAACTTACGATAAACTGAACATATGAGATAGGTAATGCATTTTTTAAAATTAAAGATGTTACTGAGTGCTGAAAACAATTTGTGAAAACTGATAAGATTGATATTATTTTCTTTTAATTTTACACAGGTGTATACATTTTCAGAATCATAACTAACGATTAACAGTAATAATTAACTTTTGAAATTTTATTTTTAATAATTCGGTAATGGTTGGAGGGTAAATTAGAATCATGGGCAATATGAAAAGAAACTTATTTTTTAATAATAAAGTTTTAATAACTTTTAATTCACTAAATAAGTTCTTATAATATTTAGTTCTTTTGACAGTAAACCCAACTTTAATTGATGTTTTATGAAATTTTGAAAAAGCATAAATATTGGATAGAAATTTTAAATTTTTGTGGGGGAAGATTAGTGTTTTTTTTCCCATTGTAATTGGAAGTTTCGTCTATTATTTACTTCTGTTTCAACTAGTTCATAATTAAAAGTCTTTCAAATGATACTAAAATTATTTGCCTTATCATTGCTTAATTAAGTAATATTAAGCACATGCTTAGGCTGTTAAGGAAATGGGACACCACAAAAAAGTTCTTAGATATTCAGGAAAGGATCACTCAAAAATTTGCCATTGCCAATTTTACCATGGAATGCATGGTGCAGGTAAAACAAAACAGAGAGAGAAGGAATGAAGAAGCTAAGTAAGGCTATTTCATCTGTCATATGCAGAGCATGCTACCACTGTACACGTCTAAAACATCCAGTTCTCCAATAAGCACCAAGTCATTCCCAGTCATCAAACATATGAGGGTTGGAACTTTAATAGTGGCAACACAGCTGGAAAAATGCTACGCAACAAAACCAAAGAATATCATGTATACCACACGGGAACTACATACCTACCTTACCTCTAAGCAAAAAGACTCGTCCTGCCTACGTCACGCGCATGCAGAGTTACGCGAAGAACGGATCCTTGTATTAGCTCGCGATCTAAAGTAAGTGTTGTCAGGATGTTTTCAAAACAAGAACAACGATGTTGGATAAAAATTGAATGTGCCAGAGGTCGTACAGCACGACAGTGTCATCAAGGGCTTCAAGAGGCTTGCGAGGAATCTGCATTGCCTTACAGAACCATAGCAAGATGGTTGAAAGCATTCAATGAAGGACACCAAAACGTGGCAGACATGCTGCGGCCAGGTCGTCCGAGTGTCAGCGATGCAGACGTGCAAGCTGTTGCCGCACTAATGGACAGTGATCGCCGCCAAACGATTCATCAGCTGGCCAGACAAACAGGATTAGCGCATACGACTGTGCTGCATATTCCTGAAGGAACTCCTGTCCATGAGAAAAATTGCTTCACGATGGGTTCCACATCAATTCACGGAAATGCAGAAATGGCTACGAAGCGATGCTGCCGAACTCACCTGGAGTGCTATGAGCGCGAAGGAGATGCTTTTTACGCCGTATCATTCATTATGCTGGATGAGACTTGGGCCCGATCGTACCATCCAGAACTGAAACGTCAATCAAATGAATGGCATCATCACGGGTCACCATGATGTTCGAAATTTCGTCAGAACCCCAGCAATGTGAAAGTTATGGTGATTCTCGTGTACGACTGTGATGGTGTCATCCTAACACATACTGTTCCCCCACAGCAGACCGTCACTGCGCAGTATTACTGCTCATTTTTGGAGCACAATCTCCGACCAGCTTTGAGAAAAAAACAGCAACACTTTCTGCAGAACGCTCCTCTCATTTTGCATGACAATGCTCGGCCGCATGCAGCGCAAGCTGTGACTGATTTGTTCAAGCGATGGGGCTGGGAAGTGCTTTACCATCCACCATACTCCCCAGATCTAAGACCCTTGTGACTAAGACTTAATTCCTAAGGTGAAGGAACCACTTCGTGGCACTCGCTTCCAAACTGTTCCTGAGATTCTTGTGGCAGTAGACCGGTCCATTCAAACTATCAACAAACCAGGCGTTGCTGCAGGTATTCTGCGACTTCCACATCGTTGGAAACGGGTTGTACACAATGCTGGCAACTATATTGAAGGACTGTAAAACATGGTGACATGAATCACTTTTGTATTCCTTGTAAATAAATAGTTGCCACTATTAAAGTTCTAACCCTCGTATATGTAAGTGGATCTAAAAAAAGCTTACAAGCATCAGCATTTTAAATGTGATTATTGTGAAGGCAATGCTTTATCCCCATAGTGTAGATAGATGGCACTAATTGTCTAGCAGTGGTTGTGTGGATAGGTAGAATAAGTTTGCAGACGCTTCAGAGAGACTTAAATGGCGAGATGTTTAGAAAAGTGGTCTCGTTTGGAAGTGTGAGGCATGATTCATTGTCCTGAACGAGTATCTTGATGGTGGCCATACCACTACTGCCGATTGTTATTGTACCACTTAGACAAGGTTCCGTGAAGCCATCCGACATAAGCACCCTGGTAGCGTGATGGTGTCATTATCTTGCATAGCAGTGCCCGGCCCCATACTGCTCTCCAAACTCAAGAATTGCTGCAAAAGTGGGAAGTTTGGGGTAACTCCCATACAGCCCAGTAACTATTTTCTTTTTTCTAAAATTGAACGAACATTTATCTGGAATGAGGTCCTCTACAGACAATGATGTGAGAACTGGCTTAGTGGGTAGGGATATGATTTCACATTATGCTGTCGAATTAAACAAGTTGGTCCTGGTTCAGATAAATGCCTAAATAGATCTGATGATTATGTGAAAAAAATGATAGGCAAGTATGCCTCTTACTTCCCTTCTGTATTTTCTTTGTATTGCTAAATAATTTATTACCCTTGTAAACTTTTTGAAGGGGAGGGACGACCCTCGCACCAACAAATGTACATAGTTACAAAAATAAATCATTTATTTTTAAGAGCTTGTAGAGTACATCCCTAATCAAAACCACATATTGTAAACAAGCTAATAATCTCATTACATAGAAAAAAAGCAGCCTCTAATGGCATTAAAAATTAAGATTTTGGCATTTTTTTTAACTTATATTAGGCAATGGTCACAAAGAAAGATTGAGACTTTCTTTTGTTCTCTCATTAAATGATGTAATTTCATGTGCTTTAAGAAATTATTTAAGAATTTGCAGTCTGCTGTCTTATTTATATATTTTATTATAGCTGCAAATATTTTATTATAGCTGCAAAATGTAAAATACTAATATGTTTTTCAAAAATCGTACATTTATGACTTTTCTTATACTATTATGCAATGCAGTAGCATTATAGACCATTTTTCATTGCAGTTTTTGATTGTGCATGCAACAAGGGCCAGTGTTCTTTAACAAAAATTTACAAAGTCACAAGAGATAATAAGGCCCACCAGCAGCCGAGCAGTAATGTCGCTGAACACTGGTAGTTCGGTCCAAGGTTCGAATCCCGCGAACAGGCTGGCTGCATGGGTGTTTCCGTGGTTTTCCCCATGTGTAACATGTATACGAGAGAGTTTCCCTTAGACAGTCCTCCATGAAGGCATTCCTCCCCTTAGGCAGTGAGCCCTAATGTGCTTTGCCATAATTAAAATACACCACCACCACAAGAGATAATCAGAAAAACAAACCTGCAAATTATTTGCTTTGAGCAATCGTATGATCTTGCTGTTCAAAAAGTCTTCCACTGATATAAACATTTGTATAAAAATTCGTCAAAGTATTATATTTCTATTAAAAGATGCAGATAATAAAAGTGCTTTTTTTGCATGTAAATATTTTTATACTGGTTGCATTTAAGAATTAGTGATTGCAGTTTAGATAGTATTTAAAATTAGCTCATTTGAAAAATTGAATTTTTCTGATTTGTTAGAAAGGTCTCAAGATTTTAAAATTTGTTTGGTGTGCCCTTCTACTTGTTATTCAGAATGACAGTTTGTACATTTGTTAATCGTGTGTGTGATAAACATCCAAGAAAATTGTTGTGATAAACATTCAGGGACAGTCACATACCTAGGTTAGATAGCAAAATCTTCAGTCTTGAACTTATTTGAAGATCTGCGGCTGTCATTTGAACAAAATACTGAATGTCAAAGACCTTGTTTGGCCAACATGTGCAATTTACTAATGCAGATATGATTGAATGCTTATGTCTTCTACATGCAGAATTTTTTTCCATTCTGTGAAACATTGTATTGTAGCTGTTATGAAGATGGTAAACATAGGTATATTCTTATCTCAAGAGACTTTTTCTCCGAGTTTATTTGGTTTCATATTTGACTAAATGGTTCTATAACATCTTCAGTAGAATTGTGAGATCCACCTGCCATCTATTATGCTTCTGCTTTTGACTGGCAGCAAGCAGAAAAATGCTGCATGAATTTAAAAGTTAGTTTCGATGGCGAGTAGGCATTCATAAAATATAAGAACATAGTTTCTCTTTCCATCCCATCCCACCATTTCTGTGAAAGCTTTCTTCCAGGTCAAAATTTAAAAATAATTAGAATTTAAGGGTGGTTCTGTGCTGACATAGAATTGTAAGTTTGTTTCTGGGTGCTGTACATCATGTTTTAATCTTAAATTTGAGGTATAAAATAGCTGCATTTTGATATTTTTGGAGTATATTTTATGCTCTGTGTATTGTTTTTGAGTATATCGATTACCTTCGTAATATTAATTCAGAATATTTGCAAAAACGTTTTTAGTTTATAAATTATACATAATTGGTGTGGAGCTGTTAGTCTGGCAGAAAAAATTACAAATATTCATTTGGATGTTTCATCAGTTTATGATTTTTTTAGTGCTTTTCAAGAAAAGGGAACTTTTGTTCCAAGGGAAAACTGAATCACTTTTTGCAGCTAATTATTCTTTTCTTTACATATTTTTGTTCTTTATTATCTTTATGTATCTTGATTGTTTGCAAATGTTATGGAATGGGGTTGTCTGTGATTTCTTTTATGTAAACAAGGCTGTGAATGAGGCTTTTGTTAAAAATAAATTTCTTCATTTTGCAGGTTTTGTGGCTTAAGTTTTGATACTAACTTCATTGAGTTATGTATAAGATAATGTAGTGTTTATGAAAATTGTTTGCTTCAACTGTTTTCAAATTTATCTGAAAACGTGATTTGTATCTGTGACTTCAGTATTCAAATATTACAACTTTCAAGTCTCCTTTTAGGCGAGAGCAGAGCATAAAGTATGGAAATGGCTATACAAGGCATTCAAAGAAAAATATTCGAAGGTTCTTGAAACATGAGCGATCTGCCAAAAAGCGCAGTCAGAAAATGGAGTAAGAAATTTTCATTTTTATTAAAAAAAAATTTTTTTAATTTCTTATTTAGAAATCCAGAACGTTGTCATTTAACCTTTTAACTGTCATGCCCGAAATAACCTCTGGCACAGCACTGGTATTCCAAAATGTCAAGCCTGAACATTACTTGGGCCAATTTTTTTTTTTTTTGAGTGCATCGTATTGTTATATCCGAATATATATCGTGAGAAGTTTATTTCAGCTTCAATTCAACAGATGGCAGGACTTTACTGAAGGTTTCAAAGGATAGAGGTTGAAGTTCAAAGTGCACAGCTCCTTTTTTTTTTTTTTTTTTTTTTTCCCCCACTGCGAGGCAAACTTTCATTTTTGGAATTAAAAAAAAATTGACAATTTATGCACCCAAATCATCAAAATAACTTGACAGTTAAAAGGTTAAGCTCATAGACCCCATTTATATTGCTTCAGATGTCTGATAAACATTTTATATGGTTCCAAGTAAAACTGGGTTCTGTCTTAAATTACTTTAATGGTTAATATGAGAAGGACATTGCTTTGATGCTACTTGGTATTATATAGAATTAAAGCTGGTATTTTTTAATTTAATATGAATTTTGTGTAGGGATCTAGTTTAAATGAAAAAAAAGCATAAACAGTTAAACTGTTTTATTCACTTTTATCATGTAGAATTGGGGGTTAAGTATACTAGTGGGAGTTGGTGTCCTTTCTTGCATTTATCTTTTTACAGTATTTTTAATTTCATTATATGAATGTAATTTTTCTTGAAAAAAAGGTCAAGAAGGTTTAGTATAAAAATACTAAATATTCCCTGATTTTGTATGTAGCTGTTCAGTGGTATAAATTTTTATTTAATATTACTGCATGTATTAGTGCACTGATTCAGAATGGTAGCTTGTTGCTCACTGCATAAAACAGTTTTATCATATGACACTATAGTTTTTTTTTATAAGAAATACCTTAAGAATGTCATCCACCGTTTTATTTTTTTGTCACTTCTCCATTTGTGTGTGTGGTAAGTTGAATATATGTTTGGTGGTGAAATAGGATATGAACTGTGAATCCTAAAATATAAAAGTGCATTGTTTTGAATAATTTCAGAAGCTCATGCTAAATATTAGTTGAGCAAGAGGATGCAATAGAGAAACAAGTGTCAAGAATCATCAGATAGATATGAGGATATGCCCATTTATCTTCAAATATATGATAATAAAAAGAACGCTGAGTCATGCTGATGAATTAGACAAGATATGTTTTAACGTGTTGGCATGTTTATTTTTAATATTATAATATCCTTAGTGAATGGGAAGTTAATGAAACAGTTGGACCATTTACTCAAAGTGAAATGCTATATTTGCCATAGGTAAGCCCAGCTAATATGTGAAATGTATTTATGGAGTGCATATAGAAGGTCCAAATTAAAGTTCACATGCACTCGTTTTATTTTGGAATGCATGATCCCAGATTATGCATTTGGTGTATATGTATATGAAAGTCATTACATCACCCAACTGAAAATAAGGAGGCTATTTAAGGTAATGCTGCACTGAAGGAAAAAAAATGCCTGTTATACAGTTATAAAAGATTCAGCAAATTGCTGTAAATCAATGTTCAGAAGTGAGCAATAATTACCAGTTATAAATATAATTAGATGCAAAACAATTGCCATGACACAGATTTGATTAAAGTTGAATTTCTGTTGCATTTGATGATATTTGTAATATGACAAAAATAATGCCATTTTAAAATTTCGTATATGTTAACCCACTTGTCTTGGTGATTTCCTGCATTTTCTCTTTTGAAATGGCAAAAGTATGTATCAGAAGTTCTAGTGTTGCTAAAATATGCAGAAATTTTTAGGCTTGCTAAATCGAGGGTGTTGTTATGCTTTTCGTCCTTTTGAGAAGCTATGCTGTGTTAGAATTGTTTTTATTGGATGTAAACTGGTTGACAAATTTGACTATCTAACTAAAAGTATTTCTGGCTTTGCATATGTACTTGCAGCATTGAAGTGTTCTGTCTTAATATTGATCAGCTAATTAATATGCCATCGGATGCTTTGAGTTAATTTACATACTTCATCTCGTAGATAGTTATAATAATGTCTGATTTCACAAGTCTATATGTTTGGTTATTTTAGAAGTTCCAGGAGATCTGTCATTGGATATGCCTTTGATTGCGAGCTCGAGTTTAAAAGCCAGTAGAGTAAGGCACAGATTAATACCTCAATGCATGTGAGCTCTTTTAGAAAGCATAGTACTCATCATATAGAAATATCAGACATGGCAAAAGTTCTTATAATCATACTGGTTACAAAATAGTGGCTGTTTGGAATTGATTTATATTTGATGGCATGTAACTGGTAATTACTGCACATAGTGCATAGTCTAGATGACAAATCATGCAATTTGCTGATGCTGTACAACTTTATAATTAATCATTTTCTTCTCTCACCTCATTCTAGGCTAAGATTTAAAAATTTCTCTAATTGTCCAGTGAAAATGTTTCACTTGCTGAAGATGGACCTAGCATGTATGGTCTGGGACCATTGTGTGTAAAATAAAGTGCATCTACTCTTTCCTTTAAATCTTATACATATATACAGGGCATTTAAAAAAAATGTAATGAACTCTAAAAGGTGGCAGAACATACAGAAACAGTTAATTTTTTGTTGCAAGATGGAAGACCAAAAATGAAACAGATGTTTGAAAGTGCTTGATGGTGAAGGTATGAAGGTGAGGAACAAATGCAAGAATGACATAGATCAGTGTTTCCCAACCTTTTTTCCCTCGTGAACCAAAAGAAAGGTCCGGAAAAATTTGAACCCCCTATGTAGTCGTTAATGACAGGTTAAAAAAAAAAGCAATAAAATTTGATAGAATATATATTTTTCATATTGCAGAATAATTGATTATATTAATCGTGAAAAATTTAAATAAAACATTAATAAGACTAAAAGGATGGCTATAAAAGTTGAAAACAAGATAAATTTAACGAACTGGTTCTTATGTTTTACATTTGGAAAAACTCTTAATGGGATATTTGTGGCTGTTTGATAGAACAAAGCAATTCAAAGTTAGGCTCAATATCTGACAATTTCAGTCTTAGATCAGGTTTTGCATTTAACCTGTTTCTGTATTTATCTTTCATATAAGTATATGTTGAAAATCCTTTCTCGCATAAATATGTTGTGCAAAATGGTAATAGAACTTCAATGGCTTTTTTTGACAGAACAGGATATTCATTTTGTATACTGAGCCAGAAGTCGATTAAAGATTGATCTTTAAAAATTGCTTCTAGAGAACTGTCACAAGATAACTCTATGTGTTTTTCTTTTTCGAGTATATTTAGAGAGGTTTCTGAACTTGCATTTCCATGAAATGGATTACATATCCAGCTGTTTGAGATGGATATATTGCATCTGTTGGGAAAATAGTCATCAAAAGTTAATCGAAGATACTTCAGATGTTCACATATACTTCTTTTAATGTTTTTGTCAAGTTTAATTGAATTTTATGATAAAAAAAGTGCTGACAGAATCGAAACATCCATACTCATTTATCTGCAGGCATTGAATCCAAAAATTGATCCTTTTTCAACATAGCTTCAATTCTGTAATGTACACTGGAAAATGGTGACACCCTCGTCCTTGGTAAAGACATATTTAATTCATTTTCAGTTTACAAAAAATGTCAGCTAAATACACAAGCTTTTGCAGCCAAAAGAACATCGGATATACTAAGAAGACAAATGAAACGGATGATAAAAAAAAAAAAAAAATGCTTGAACTTCAGACTTCAATTCAAACAAACACGTCAAAACTTTACCACGGGAAAGCCAAACTTCTGTGTGAAGTAGTAAAGAAACGTGGAAACTTCCAAAATCCTCACGGAATAGACGGCAATTTGTAGCACGTGATTTTATAAAGTTCACAATTTTCACAGCATCACTTAAAGTAGTAGATAACTCTGCAGGAATACGCTTACATACTAAAGCTTGTCTATGAATACAACAATGAGTCCATTGAATTTTCTCGTTGATCTAATTCACCCATGCCACAAAACCAGAAAATTTTCCTATCATTGATTTTGCACCACCTGTACACACACCCACACAATAAGACCAGCTTATTCCATTCTTTTCAAAATACCCATTGATCATATCAAAAATCGCTTCTCCAGTTGTGTAGGTTTTCAAAGGTTTTGCAAATAATACATCTTGAACAATATTCGTAGAAAGATATCTAATGTAGACAAGCAAGACTGCGGCATTTGTTACATCCTTTGATTCGTCAAGTTGAATTGCAAAATAGTTCAATTTTATTCTTTTTAGAAGTTCGTTCTCCGCATAATTAGCCAAGTCATTAATTCTACGCAACACCGTGTTGTTTGATAAGGGAACTAGCTCAATTTTCTTTGCTGCCTTTTCCCCAAGCATACATTCGGCAATATCTTTCACACATGGTCCAATTACATTTTCTGCTATTGTATGCGCTTGTCCAGATCTTGCATTTCTATAACTTACTCGAAATGATGCTTCAAGGGCCATTTTACTATCTTTGTTTGAAGTCAAGAAAGAAGAAAGGCTACACTTTTTGATATTTGCTAATTTTGTTTTGAAATATTCAAGAGGTTTATCTTTATGTGTCGGATGTTTTGTTTCAGTATGTCTACGAAGAAGTGATAGTTTTAAACTGCTGTTGGCAAGAACTTCGTTACATATAACACAAAGCGGTTTAGGTTCCGACTTATCCCCAGTAAAATGAAAACCCAATTGTAGATAGTCGCTGCCATATTTTCGCTTTTTCCCTTTTCTATCATCGTTTCCTTTGTTTTTCGTCTGGTGAAATGGTACCTCACTACAGCTTTCAGTACTATCATCTTGATTATCATGTCTCGTTTCTAAATAACCTGTTTTTAACCATCGATCCATAATAAAAATAAGCTATAATAATAATTAAATTAATAATTATTAAATCATTTACATGAGAACTTGACAGTCACAGTATCACTATCACTCAAGCTTTACAAGTGCTAAGCCTATGTATGAACGTCGACAGACAGACAGACAAAATAGACAGTTAATACAGCACTACTCTCCCAGTTCCCAGTTGTGAACAAGTATCTAATTCTAAAATCTGTAGTAAACTGCCTTAATTTGATATTTATTTCCAATTGTATTGTAAAACAAAATATTACATAAAAGGGAAAACTGCTGCAATGATTTTAAATATAAAGCAGAACATGATACTAATCACATTGATAAAATGTTTTAAATATAAATAAATGTTTGTAATAAAAAGAGAATAGTATTTGATTACTTGAATAAGAGGAATAAATTATAATGTATAAAATTGCTGATATAATTTGATATTGATGAAGTAATTTTGAAAAACAAATAAGGAAAAAAGAAATGAAACTATTGAAATTTATTATTTCTTAACAAACAGGTAGCGAACAATCTTTTACAGTGGATATGTTCTTTTTTTTTTTTTTTTCTTTTGATTTTAATGGCATTTTAAAAAAATCCGCCATTACAATATTATTTTCGCAAACCCTCTCTGCAAACATTGCGAACCACCAGGGTTTCACGAACCACCAGTTGGGAATCACTGAATCAAAAAGCAACTTTAAGGAATTACTGTAATTCCCTGAAAGAGCAAATATCAACATGCTATGACAAGGGAAGGACTGGTGAACTTATATATTCCCTAAAAGACCAGCAGTTATGCTGCTGATTAACCCAAAATGTGGGAGCTTTCAGATTAATGTTTCATGCTGTTCTATATTATATCAATTCAGTTTTCAGTCCCCCCCACCTTTTTTTTTTTTTTTTTTTTTTTTTTTTTTTTTTTTTTTTTTAAGTCATTGAGTTATGTTTGCTGTCCAAATTGAGATGGAAATAACCTGCTAGGCAGATAAAATTTTCATACTTTAACGTAAACTTCTAGGTCCTCACAAATATTTCTTAGTTCTTTAATTTTATGCTAAATTTCCTGTTTGGAAACTTAATAATTATAAGCAATTTGCTTTAGATTTCAGTTGCTTCTAGTGTAAATTCTCAAAATACTATGTTATGATTATATTGGAGGGCCCATATTAAACTCAATTGGACGTAGGAGACTTCACTTGCTTGGGTTTCAGTGTATCTTGGGCCACCCAGTATTATATCAAAACTTTCAGTTTCCGCTTTTGTCACTGTTTAGCTTCTCTGAGTGAGCACATCTTATCTAAAGCAATTTCTGTTAGATATTAGAAATAAGGTGTAGATAAGTCTTCATTTCAGCTGGCAAAAGTTATGTATACTTTGTTTGAATTATAAACTTTTACTATAAAAATTTGTGTTTTGAATAATAGAATAAATAATGTGTTGATAAGATTATATTCATGCATTTTCACATAATTTTAAATCCTATTCATTTTCTAGGTCTACTTCAAAAAACACAAATGTACAGTATTCTGCTTTCCATGGCTCAGCTAAATCCCGGATAAGACGAGCTAAGTGTAATTACTCAAATTCACCAGGAATGGAAAAATTTGACTATTCTGTGCCTTTTAATATTGCAGAAAGCCCGTATGGTGCACAATATGAACTGCCTTTTTTAATTGACTCTGAAACACAAACTGATATTCTTGAGACAAATGAAAATGTTGATAAGCCTTTTGCTAAGAATTTCATTAACTTGGTTCAAAATATTTCAGTTAATGATAGCATTTCAACACATGAAAATCTTGATGTGTTTGCACAGAATTCTTTACAGTGTGATTTACATAATAAACTTCTCTCTCAGACTTCTGCTTCAGTAAAGTGTCAAGTAATTAAGGCTGAAAATAGTTCCTTTGATCACGAAAAAAGTACTGGAGATAATTTTCTCTGTGATATAAATTCAGTAACTTCTCATTCCGCAGTGTATAATCTCTCACCATTACATATCAAAGATACCTGTGTTCAGAATGTTTCTATTGTGGGAACTGGAAGTTTAAAGAAGCGAAGAAAATTTCACCAGTTTTGCAGAATGGGATCATTTAGAGGAAAATTTCTTCTTAAAAAGTTTGGCAGTGTGCAGGTATGATTTTAGTTCTTTTGTATTGTCAACATTTGAAGAATTTAAAATTTTGATTTCTGATTATATTTATTTTTTAATAGGAAATCAGCACCACAGAAGATTCTTGTGAAAGTGAGGAAGACAGTGATTCCTTAATGTAATAAGCATTTTTTGAATGAAGCATATTAAATTGTTACCTAATTATTATTAAAATCTAAAATAATTTTATTAATTTTTTCAGGCGCTCACGATATAGTTTAGGTAATGTTAGTGAAAGTTCAATAACAAGTTCTGGTGATTCTTTCTCTGAAGAAGGAAATACTAGTGAACATTCCAGTGATCAGTATACTGGTGGTGAACTGTTATCAAGTTTGTCCAATCCTGATATTTCACTCAGCGAAGATCATTTTACTTCTCAAAAGAGTGTTGGAACAGATAGTGCTGAAAATGTTACACTTGAGGTAAAGATGTTTATAATTTCCTTTTCTCTGAGTACTTAATGTAATTGTCTCTATGTGTGCATATGTATTAAATACCTCTTCATATAGATTATATGGTAAAAATCCCAAAATTGGTAAATCCTAGTTTTTATTGTCTTATCATGTACTGTGATGAGCATAAAATGCTTATATGCAAATCTGTTTTGGATTTTTGCAAAACCATTGAAGCAGACGTCAAGATTTACCAACTGCCAGAAGTGTGTTTTTATTGTGTAAAATAAGTGAGTGTGTTTTAATGTGTGTGTGTTTACACACACACATGTGTGTTTAATGTGTGTGTGTTTACACACTTTTAGTGTGAGTGTGTTTTAATATTTATTCTTTGAACATATAGATTTCAAAACATTCTGTCGCTGATTTTCCATTGTGCTTTTAAAATGCAGTCCTCTTCTCATATCTTATGCTCAGTCTGTTTTTAATAAGCGTTATTTGAAAATCATTTTAATGAAGTAAGAAATTAAAAGAGCATTCTCTTGCGAAATAAAATTATACATTTTTGAACATTAAACGAAATCATTGTAATAAATTTTCTTTGGATTTCATACTTTGATCAGTTAACACATTAACTACCACGTGCATTTGACTTGGTTTGCCCATAACGCCAACTTGAAACTTTTTATTATGTGATGTATTATGTTGAAATATTATCTACAAAAGATAATGTGAGTTATATAATCATGCTTAATGCATTTTTTGTGCTGGGGGTCACTGGCAACCCCCAAACATCTGTAGACCATTTTTGCAATTTATAATTTAAATTTTTAAGATTTCTTCAAACCGTTATAGTAACAATGGTACTATTTAAAAATTTATCAGTATCGATATTTACTGTAATTATGTATTTTACTATTGGTCGCGTCACCGGTGGCACCAACAGCGCTGTAGCTGAGTGCCGCTCACCAGTGACCCCCATGGCAATTAACATGTTAAATTTAAATGCTGACATTTACCAGAATGGTTTGTTAAAATCCCAAAATAAACATGTTGACAAGCACTGTTACCAAGTTTGTTGCCATATACTAGGATTTACTAATTTGGAGCGCTTTTATGTTATCATGTATATCAATTATGCATTAGGTTTTTGATATTTCATATTCTGAGTAGAAGGTTGAAAACTTGATTCACTAAGAATTTGCACCTTACTACCCACCTTCCCCCCCCAAAAAAAACTGCTTAGATGTTGCATAACATACTAAAATTCTTTCTAAAACTGTCAGCTGAATGCTGCTTTGAATATAGCGCTTAAAAGTTTCTGGTAATTGTATAGTACACATTAAAATTGCAACACAATGATCGAAGCATCTGATAAACCTGAAATTTGCATATTATGTATAACTTGGATTACAGATAAGCGACTAGTAAGGCATTAATGCACCACCTAGTAGCACTGTATAGGAACAGAGCAAGTTTTTCAGATAAGAAATTGTCTTTACTTTTTTTTCATAAAAGCTTTAGTATGCCTCATCTAAAATGGAACTTGGATCATTGCATAAAATTATGGTGTACATAATTATTGTAAAATTACTGCTGGTGTATAAATATTTTGGCAAGTTGTATGATTTAAGTGTGAAACTGATAGGCCCAGGATGGATGGATGCAGCAGTGTAGATCACTAACCCACAAGCACCAATGCCCATGAGCTATATAATGCAGCCTATCTTAGAAATTATGTTGTGTGGTATAAGAACAGGTATTTGGGCATAATGGAGCAATATGTGTAGCATCATGGATTGTTTGCAAGGTGCGTATTGTTTTCCTACCTTTATAATAGATCACATACATTTGTAGTATCATGATTGCCATATCCATGCATGGCAGCTCTGTTAACCTCTTCGCTTCCAACATTGAGACAGTGAAATTCTCCACTTGTGCCCATGACCTTGGAGCTTTGAACGTGTGCCCAGACATGTTTTGCAATTAAGCCTAACTTGCAGAAATAATTCGTACAAATTCTTTTATTTATCAAAATATTTGAAATTTTGCGAATAAGGTTTGAAATTTAAATAAGATACACAAAATATATTTTTGTGTGTCTTATTTCTTATAATATAAACAGAAAAGCACTGAAAAAATAAAATCCAAACTAAGTTAATATGCTGTATTAATAATGATTATATTTAATTTATTTCCATGAAATAATTAAGCATTTAAGTATCATTGCATGTTGTTATTCATATTGCCATATTTACAGACCAAAATTTAAGCCAAAACATTTCTAAATTCTGAACACGCATTGTAAGCATTGCATGTTTTACATTGCTGAAGAAAATAATAAATAATATTCATAATAACAAGGCTAATACTGGAGTTTCCTTTTAATAAGTTATTGCAGTATTCTGACATAATTTATATGCTTTTAAAATTTGAAATAAAATGTTCCGATTTCAGCATATCAAATATACCATGAGCCACGAGTGACTCTTCACTCCCATATTACGTTTCGTGCAGTGAGCCAACGAGGGAAACTGGAGCACATCATATATAATATCCTGAGAGCAAAGATAATAATCTTGCATTTCATGTTATCCTACCAGATCAACAACCTGGAATGGGATACAATACTTACACATCTTACTTGCATCTAGTATGCGTATTAGACTATCTGACTACTCGGCATTACATTGCAGAGGTATATGATTCTGTGATTCACATCTTCAAGTCTTGTTTCCATGAAGGCACTTATCAAGTTCATGCGTGACTGCATAATGCATGAAGCATCTAAGCTTCATTATTGATCATCCCAAATTACAGTGGTTATCTTTAATTAAGGAAAATCACGAAAATGACAATTACTGACAAAGTTACATGTAGAATTTAATGAAACTGACCCACTGTATACAGCTCATAATAAGGCATCAAATATCATGAAAAGAAATTACAAGTTATTTATTTTATAGAAATTAGCAAATGTATAAAATGAACAAATTGGATGTGTCAGTTTGGTACAGGAAAATTCCCTTCGATATGGAATATGAGCTTCACTAGAAGCAATACAATGATGTGTGATGGTGTTAGTTATGCAGTCTACCAGTTCCCATAGGAAGTGAGAGCTATTGCTCTTTCAAAGCAGTTGCAAGCATGGCAAGGGTCTGAAGAGGAGGATTGTTAGTAGCTTTGCAGCTTCCTAAAGCATCCCAAACATGCTTGATAAGATTCAGGCCAGGTGATCGAGCTGACTACTCCATGCGCTGAATTGTTTGCTACTGAAGATAATCATCCATTATGTGAGCCCTGTGTGGTCTAGCATTGCCATCCCGTAGCAGGAAATTACCAACTATTGCTATGGCATAAGGATGCTAATAAGCATCAAGGATATCATCAGTGTAGGCCTGGGGATTCATAGTTCTTATGTGGAAAGACATGGAGGTTTGTGTGTTCACCCAAAGTGAGACCACCCCAATATTCAGGTACTGCCTTTCCCATATATAGCTCTTTCACAGATGTTTGATGAATGACAACAGGTTCTGTATTCTCTTCAAGTGTAAAAATCCACTTCCCGAATACACGTTTAAAATAAAACTTAAACAACTTAACACCTGCCTCCCAGATTCTTCCAGTGTGAGGAGCTCTAAAAGGGGTAAACTTCCTATGATTCGTTTCGGATGTCAGATATTTAGTTATGAATTCATCAGGGTACTTCACCAAATTATATAATCACTTCAGTTCAACTTCAGCCCAAGACAATTTTGAGCTTTGTCGCTAAATGTAGATGCACATTTCCCTCTTCTAGAAATAAATCGTTTAACCCTTTCCGGCACACCACCTTTTAAAGTTGGAACTTTGACCCCCCCCCAAAAAAAAAGGGTAAGCAGTCTGATCAGGCCTAGAAGAGTACACAGGTAAAATTTTGTGAAGATAGCACTTATCGTTTTAATTCTGCGGTGGTGCCAGAAGTGGGCACATTGAATGAATAGAGCTTCGAAAACAGTGCTCAAATGAGCATTGCTGGGATGTGCATAAAAGAGTAAGAGATTTTGCCTACGATTAAGAAACACTAGATTCTGTATACCCTAGTAGATTTTAGCATTACCCAAGGTGTGCCACAGGGAAGCCTGCTACTCTACACCCCCTCTAAAAATGCTCTTTTGGTTATATGATGATTGCATGCATATAAATGAAAAGAAAAGTAACTTGGGTATATGATAGTTACATTATTTACATTTCATATTTACACTTTCATCTATTTTTTCCATGGTGGTACTTTTCGAAGAAAGTGTCACCACCTTTGAAAAAGCACAACCCAACATTGCATGTTTTGCACATGTACCGGGATCTGTATCAGATTTACTATCTGAGGGCAATTCGTGTAACACTTTCAGTGCTTCAGAAATGTTCAGCCCTTTCCGATCCATTTGGAAGATAATTAAAAATCCCCTCCCAAAGAAACTAATATTATATCTACAGTTAGAAATTATAAACTGTAAAATAAAATTAAATAAACATCTACAATTCAAAACTGTCAAAACATAGCACTAACCAAACTTCTTTGAGCGAAAGAGAACTGCTGTAGTGAAAAGCCAAACTGATAAAAATATGAAATGAAAGCCTAACTGATAAAATTACCCCTAACCTTCAGAATATCACTCCAACAATTTCTTCATTGATAACCAAACCTCCACCCCCCCAACAAAAAAGATAAAAACAGGAAATGAAACACAGATGTGGACTCGCCTTTCTATGGTTAATCAGCTGGCAGAGAGCTGCATAGAAACAAAGACACAGTTGTTGGTATGGTCCTAGTCTCTTAGTGATCCCACTCTGTTCACACCTGATGTTCGCTGTTCGATTTTAGGCAAGATTTCAAGGTAAAAATTTAAAACTAATATAGGATGAGGAGATTAGCGTACAGCCAAGAAAATAACTTAGAAATTTCTTTGAAAATTGAGTCTTTAAAAACTAAACATTGCTAAAATCTATAGTAGCAAGATAACAGCCACTTATGTGATGAAAATTTTGTCTAA